TGCTGCAGCGCGCCGCCCTGCCTCCATCTGGCGGCGCCGCGCCGAGCGCTCGCGCCTGCTGCTTGCCTCTCGGGGGGGCGCCCGCCGGTGCGACGTGGCAGCTGCCGCTGCCGCTGCGGATCGAGGAGCCCTCCCGCCCCACGCGGCTGCAGATGACCCGAGATGACCCGAGATGACCCGAGAGTACCCGAGAGTACCCGAGAGTACCCGAGAGTACCCGAGAGTACCCGAGAGTACCCGAGAGTACCCGAGAGTACCCGAGAGTACCCGTAGGAGCCCACCCGCCCCGCGCGGCTACTCGTCGCCGCTACCTTCTCCGCCCCCGCGGCGGGGGCGGCGGGCGGCGCCGCTGGAAGGTCCGCCTTCTCTCCGCCGCCCGCCGGCGAGCGGGCCGAGAACGATTTCACCGCGCCCTTGCTGCTCGGCTCCTTCCCGCTCCTCCCCCTCCACCATCTCCGCTGCCCGCGCTCGCACCCCCCGCTGGCGCTCCAAGGCTCTCTCGCCGTCCAACACGCCGCCGCCCGCCTGCTCCATGCCGCGAGAGCGCAGCGGCGCGGATCGCTGCCGCCGCCCGCGCTGCCGGCGGCGGCGGCGGCGGCGGCGGCGGCGGCGGCGGCCACCGCCGACGAGACCCAGTTTCGTCTCCGCATCTCCGCACCCGCCCCTGCGATGCGTTCGCTGCTGCAGACCCTGCTCGCCGGCTCGGCCCTCTCGGCGGCGAGCGAGATCACCCGAGATCACCCGAGATCACCCGAGATCACCCGAGATGACCCGAGATGACCCGAGATGACCCGAGATGACATCTCGGCTGTATCTCGGCTGTATCTCGGCTGTATCTCGGCTGTATCTCGGCTGTATCTCGGCTGTATCTCGGCTGTATCTCGGCCAGGCGAGCGCCGGCCTCTCCGTCTCGACCGGCGGCATGCGCGCGCTCTCGAGGAGCACCACACACACCTCACCCACGCGCACTGGGCCTTGCACTTTGAATGCCGTGGGGCGCCTGTCGTTAGACGTGGAGACGCGAGGGTCGCCTGGCCCTTGCCCCACCACCTCGTGTGTGTGGAGAAGTGTACCTGACCTGACCTCAGGAGCACCAGCGCTGTGGCCGCACTCCCGAGCGGCGAAGAAGTGTCGATGAGGCTCACTCTCGACGATACGCCCGGCGGCGGCGGTGGTGGCAGCGGTGGCGGTGGCAGCGGTGGCGGCGGTGGTGGCAGCGGTGGCGGTGGTGGCGGTGGCGGCGGCGGCGGCGGTGGCGGCGGTGGCGGCGGTGGCGGCGGCGGCGGCGGTGGTGGCGGCGGTGGCGGCGGCGGCGGCGGCTGGCATCGCGCTCAGCTTCTTGTGCAAGCCTCCTCTCCTGCGGCGCTGTGGTCGCTGCGCGCGTCGCTGCTCTGCTTGCTGCTGGACGGGCGCGGCGGGCTAGAAGCGTGTGTTCATGTCTCCCAACCAGCGCCCGAGAGGAGGCGGACTCCGCCGTATTCACCCGTGTTCCGCTGTATTCACTGTCTTCCTCCCCGTTGTCTTCACGCGGTGCTCTGAAGACGCTACGCAAGACCGCCTTCCCGCCCTCACGTCGGCGTACTCCGCACTGTAGGCGCGGCGGGCTTTCGGCGCCCGAGGCGGCGGCACCGTTCGACGGCACGCTCGAGCCGGGCGCCACCGCCGCGCCGCCGCAGCAGACGCGCGCGACGGTCCCGACGCTGCGCCGGCAGCAGGCCGAGTGCAGCGCGCTGCAGGAGGCGCTGCACCGCCTCCTCCAGCAGCGGCGCCAGCTCGACGACGGCGTCGCCGTCGGTGTGTCTGAGTTGTCCGCCGGCGTGGAGCGGTGCAGCCGCGAGGCCCTCGCCATCCACCAGCTGCTACGCAGGCAGCTGGGCTGCCCCAGCCTGCGGCTGTCCGCCGGCTGGCCTGCGACAGCCTCGTGACGGCCGCGGGTCGACGCACCAGGCCGCAGGACGCGCCTGGGGCGGCGGGGGACGGACCCGGCGGGCAGCGCGCGCGAACGCGGCCTCGGGGTCGGGCCAATTCGGAACAAGTCGACGCGTGGATCTCTCGCCGCGCGCAGGCGCCAGGTGCCGAGGCGCTAGCGACATGCATGCGCATGGCGACAGCCCGGCACATGCGCGTGTTGCCGGTGCGGCGGTGCGCGTGTTGTGTGGAAGAGTACAGTACCGCACAATGCCGTATTCGGTACAGTTCGCCAGGTACAAAGGACTGGTTGCGTAGAAACATATCACTAGCACGCGCGCACAAAAATGAAAAAACGCGCTCCAGAGGGAGCATATGCTCGACCCTATGCACAACACCGCCCTCCTCATGTACTTCGTCCGCGCTGCCCACCATGAAGCTCGGCGGCCCCGGCCTCGATGCGCGCGAGACTCTCTCTCCCCTTCAGCTCTGATCAGGTCTCGCATGGCTCACGGCTCAGTGCTCGGGTCATGGCTCGGCGCCACGGGCTCGAGCACCAGGTCGGAGAGTGTCGCGTCGAAGGAGGAGTGGGCGCGGTTGGTATTCTTCGGACACAGGAGCTCCGAGGCGTACGAGCTGGCCAGCTCCCTCAGCTCCGAGAAGGTGATGCGGCGCTCCACCCGCGCCGGAAGCTGCAACTCCAGCGAGCGGCGCTTGCTCTGCCGCTCCGTGGGTTCGGCGGAGGAGCTGGGGTCGGCGGAGCTGCGCTTGGAGCAGCGCGGCGGCTCCACGGGCGCATCGGCGATCGAGCGGCGGCGGGCGAGCACGGCGTCCAGGGACCCGGGCGCTGAGGCGGGCGGAGCGGGCGGCGGCGGTGGCGGCGAGGCCGACCGGCCTTCTGCAGATGGCGCGAGCAAGGACACTCGCAGTCCGGGCGACGGAGCTCGAGCGGGAACGGGGCTGGCGGCCGGTGGGTCCGGGGAGGGGGGAGGAGGCTGCGGGACGGAGGCGGAGAGCATGGTCCTTGGCGGCGGCCTGTAAATAAAAAAAGAATTGACCCCGTCAAAGAAAAAGAAATATTTCATCAACACAATAATCGAGACACAAGCCAGACGAACGATTGCTCATCGTCTGCTTGTATTATGGGGGTGGCCATCGATTGCCTGCCCACCAAGCTGCTTGACGAGCCCACTGATGACGCCGCTAAAGCCGCCGCCACTGCTCACAAAGTAGGGAGCGTGCGCCATGTACACGACGTCGTCATCCGCCCGCTGCCCAATCCTGAGCTCCACGAAAAAGCCTTTCGCTCGAAAATGGTCCCGCACACCATTGATGTACTCAGTGCTCGCCGGCCAGATGTTCTCCGCGAGCTGCATATGCGTGCCAGCGACGAGGATAAGGTGCCGCGTCGAGAGCTGCTGCACGTACTGGTCGAAATGACTTAGCGATTTCACATAGGGCCGCAGGCCATCGCGCAGCACGCCGGGGACGCCGCCGTGCGAGATTATATCCCTGGGAACGCCGTCATGCAATTTCTTTCCATCGAGGACGTCTCCGCACCGGAGGTGCAGGATGGCTGCATCGGACGGCGGGACCATCGATGGGTGGCTGGCCCTATACTCTCGCACAACCCGCGCTAGGATGACATAGTCCCCTGAGCGAGTGGTTGCTCTTAGGTATCTGCTGGCGATGCTATTCGGGAAGTGTGCAAGGTGAAAGCTCTCGAGCATGATGTCCCCATAAGTACCCCCAAAGTGACATACGGAAGCAGCGCGAAGCAGTACACAGGTCGTCGAGCTGCGCAATGCAAACGCTCTCACGCCCAAGCTCAGCTTCGTGGGTCGCGCGATTGTGTGTGTGCGCACGTGCAGTGTGTAGAAACACATCACGTCAAGGCTTCTGTCGGCGTGGACTGTGTTCGGTGCTCTCCCAGTCTCTGGACTCTGCGCTCGGGTGGAGCCAGTTCAAATTCGGTGCAAAATTCTTTTAGTGCCATGAGTGCGCTAGACACGTCCCCACCTTTGCAGGATGCTTGGAGCGCAGTTATTAGGATTTTGCAAAAGCGAGGGGGAGGGGAGCGGCCTGGGTATAGAGCACCGGCGCTGGCTCGCTGCTTCTTCCACGCCGCAGCTGACTGTCTCCACTTCACGCGCGGACGTCCACCTCACCGGACACTCGGCCGCGCGACAATTTTGGATGGCGACATCAATCATGGCCTCGGGCGACGTGGGCGGAGAGGCCGGCAAAGGCATGGCGCCAGAGGAGGCGCGAGCGCTCTACGATGACTGGGGCGATGGATACACGACCTCGGTCGAGTCTTGGGGCTACACGATGCCGCACGAGATTGCTGCGGCGCTGGCGAGCCTCGCAGACGACGCTCCTTCGTTCTCTGGCAAAATCCTCGACGCGGGCGCCGGCGACGGCCTCTCTGGGCGCGAGCTCCGCGCGGCAGGCTTCAAGAATGCGGACATCACCGGCGCAGACCTGTCCCCGAAGCTGCTCGAAATCGCAGCGAGCCGCTCGGTCTACGACCAGCTCAAGCAGCTCGACCTATCGCAGCGCCTGCCGTTCGAGTGCGAGAGCTTTGACATGGTGAGCTGCGTCGGCACACTCACCTACCTAGCGCCGTCGTCGGGCGTCCTCGCTGAGTTTGTGCGCGTGACAAAGCCGGGCGGCCACATCTGCTACAACATTCGCACCGACCACAAGCTGGCGTGGCTCGAGACGGAGAAGGCGATGGTCGCGAATGGCTCCTGGCAGCTGCTCACAGAGACGGAGCCGCGGCCATACCTGCCGAACAATCCCGACTACGCCGACAAGGTCCTGACCGTGATCTCTTGCTATAGGAAGACCGTGTGAGGGGAGGCTCTGGAGCTGCGTGGCGGCAAGCCCCTTCCCTCTTTTGTACACCTGTGAGCGGTAAAGGGTGTGGATGCTGGGTTGACGGAAATCGGGGGACGCGACCCACTTCGCCACAGACGGTCCCGCGCCTCGCCGCTAAGTTTGCGGCACGCCCCGCACCGTCCGCTGTGCCGCGTTTTTTGTCCGGAGTGAAAAGTCCAACGCGCTCGTCGGTGGCGGCTTCCCCCAACCTGCGCCGCGCTCGGCGAACCTCGACAGCGCCTTCGGTGGCATGCAGCTCTTTGCGCCTGAAGCCTGGAGAGCAGCTCCTCTGCTGCTCACACACTCTGCACAGTTGACACAGCCTACTGTGCGGCTGCCACAGCTGTGACAGCGATGGGCTCGCCCTCACTGGCAGGCAGTGAGGGGTCCCGTACCATGCGGAATCGACCCTATCCAGTGCTCAAGTGCTCAAGCTACATCCCAGTAACCCAAAAGACGTACACTGAAAAGGCGCGAATCATCAAGCCGCAAAACGGAATATTCGCTTTTGTCATCGCGAAAGACATAGCGGAGGGGACGCACGAGCGCCGCGATGCTTGTGGCCGCACTCTCGCTGCCGTGCGCGGGGTACCTGGCGGCGAGGCCTCACGGCCCGGCGCGGCCCCGCGCGAGCCCGCCCGTCGCGTACTTCTCCTTCGACAAGGCGCCCGAGATGGTGTCGCTCAAGGATCAGCTGATGGAGGCCAGCGTTCAGCACCAGCTGCAGCACTTCCGCTCGCTGAACGAGGAGGGGCTCCTCGTCTGGCTCAAGGCGACATGGGAGACCTACGCCAAGTCGCACACTGAGCCCGGCGCCGCGCAGCGCTTCGTCGACGAGATGCTCAGAACGCAGACGGAGAATGTCTTTGTTCCGATGCAGCGATTCCAGCAGGGGAGTCCCTCCAACCCGTACACCGCTCAGCGGCCGATGCCAGGGTACATGTGCGAGGTCGAGCCGCACAAGATTGCGCGCCGGCTCATGGAGTCTCGCAAGCAGGAACCGCCACCCTTGCAACGCACCAGCCGGCAGGCCCATTGCCAGTGCCCCTGCCGCCTGGGTCACCCTCTGCGTCCGCCTGCAGATTGCGACCGTGTGGCGAGACGAGCTGTCGATCCTCGCAACGGGGCAACCGCACGAGGCGCTCCCCGACGAGCAGCGGCTGGCCGGACTCGCCACCTGCACCGCGCTTCGCTCCATCGTCTTTGACCTCGAGCTGCTACCGTCGCAGGTGTTTTGCCGCCCGCCGCCCGCCTCTGCCCCGCGCCCTATCCCCAGCTCACCCCCGCCCCCTTCCCCCCCAGCGTCCCTTGAGCGAGTACATCCAGGAATTCTGGCACGCAAGGCGCCGCCAATAGCCTAGGGTCGAGACAGGGGGGCGGTAGCAGCACCGCCAGCATAGGTGCGCGGTGTGCAACGGCAGCGTTTCTCACAGCGACCCAAATCTCTGGCAGGGCCGCCGGCCTCGCGCCCGACGGGGACGTCGAGGCGGTGCTGGCGGAGCTCGAGTCCAAGCCGCTCGCCATCCGCGGGGAGGTAGCTCTTGCTCCTTGCCCTGCACACGGGATATGGCCCACGCTGGCCCTGCCCGTGCCTGACATGGTTCCGACGCTCTTTCTGCGCATCGCACTCATCAGGTGCTCATCGAGCCGTCGGCCATCGCCACTTGGGTGCGGCAGCTGCGGCGGCAGGCCGAGACGGGGTTTGCGCGCGCTCTCGAGGAAACCGGCGACGAGAATGTCCTCACGCAGGCGACCTTTCTCGAGACGTGCCTCAGCGTCGAGCTCCCACCCTCGCAGGCGAGAAGGTCGTTGGACGGTTTCTCGCCATGAGGTGCTGAGCAGCGGATAGCCACTCCTACCTACCTCAATCAGCGGAAGCCTCTCCTCTTTCGCGTACAAAGGCAGCTTGGAGGCGCTTGTGTTCCTGCTGTGTTTGTCTCTTGCTCCCTCTTTGACCAGTTGAGTGCGCGTGCCGTTTATACCTGTTAATACCCAGTCCCGGTTTGACACACACTCTCTGGTCTATACCTCTGACACACTTGACCATGGGCTATATGGAAGGGGTACGTAACCATCGTGACCCTGGCTCCTCTCGTGTGTACGCGCACGCACTGTGTACACTCGTCTCTCGCGCGCGCTCTCTAAATGCAACGTCTGCGACGTAGCCTGGCTCTCATTTTCCGTGACCAGCCACGCCCACGGGCGACGGGGAGGGGAGGGGGCGGAGCTTCGTTCGTTTGCAGAGGATCGGTATAGAGCGGCGAAGCTCCGCGCCCCAACCTCAGGTCTGTCTGAGCGACCAGCGGGCCAGAGCGAGCCATCGTAGCCAGCTCGTCCGCGCTTAGCGCGCCGGCGAGGCGCGCGTGCAGCTGCTGCACCTCGATCTCGTGCGCCACGTGCGCGCCGCCGGACGGGCCCTCGCGCGTCAGCGAGCGGAGTCGGTCGAGCGCCTCGCGCGCGTCCGCCGCCTACGAAGAAGTCGCGTCCTCAGCCAGCACCCGACTTCACAGCTGACCGGCAAACCTCGCCACGTCTCCGGCACCTCGGCCCTCGCCTCGCGCACCTGCGCCCTGCTCTGCCGCTCGCTCGCCTCCGCCTGCCGCCGCGCGTCCTCCGCGGCCGACAGCGCCGCCTCGAAACGTGTCGCGTCGGCCGCCGCCGCCCACCCACCGCCCACGCCGCCGCCCGCCACTATCGCCACTGGCGGGGTGGGCGGCGCGGAGGCGGCGGTTGGGTGGGAGGGCGGCGGCGGGGCCGCCCTCGCCACGAGCGGCTTGATGTTGGAGAGGTTGACGCGCGACGGGGCTGCGACCGGCCCCGGCGGAGCAGCTTGCGGAGCGGCCGGCGGAGTAGCGCCCGGCTGCGCGACAGGGACGGACAGCGCCGGCGTGAGCGCCGTCGGCTCTTGCGGCGCAGTCGGCGGGAGGGCGTCGGCCTCGAAGGACATCGAGTACTCGAGCTCCTCCTTCTCGGGCGGCGCGCGCGCCGTGGCGGCCAGCGCCGGTGCACGCGTCTTGGAGGCCGCCTTCGAAGAGGAGGAGGCAGGGGCGGCCGAGCCGCGGCCGAGCTCCTCCAGCTCGAACGAGTCGGACGCGTCGAGTGAGCGATCAGCGTGGCCGGCATCGATCTCAATGCTGGAGTTCAGGTCCGACATGTCGAGCTCGTCAGCCATCGTGCCCTTGCCGCCGGGCGCGAGCGAGTGCCTCAGCGTGGCGGTTGCCGACGGCCCGCCACCTCCTCCGCGCAGCGGCGCCGACTTGGAGAGGCCGGAGCCAGTGGTCGTCGCGGCTCTTCGCGCCTGGTCTGGGTTCTTCTTGGCCTTGCGTCGGCCATCCTCTCCTGCACCCTTCCTGCGGGCGGATGATGCCTCGTTGGCGTCGCCGGCGAGCGCGGCTGTCTTCCTGCCGCCCGTTCTTCACCTCATTACTTCCTTACGAAGGTGGTACTTACTTACCTCTCTCTCACAGCACACTGGCACGACAAGGACGTGTGGACTGGGGGACACTGGAACGGACACATCGACACGCGGACAAAAAAAGCGCACACGCACACCTCGCAAGCAAGCAAGCAATCCGTCAGCCATGAGGGTAGTCACGCACCCAACGACCCATTTTAGACTCCATCGCCACTGGGCGCGCAAAGAGTCGGTCCACACACGCACAGGGACAACGCTCTGCTGCCGGCGTAAACACACAAAGAGTACAAGCGGAATATCAACACGATCTGTAGAGGCCACGTGCGGGCCGGGTCACGTGGCTCCGCGTGGACGTATCCTTGAGCAGACACGACCCGTGCATCTCCCGCACCAAGCGACACTGCACCTTTCTCGTGCGGCGTCTGTGCCCTGCCCGCCGAGTGAGAACCCTCGACTGCTCGCGAGCCATTGTCCCTTGACGTAGGCGATTGGGACGGCAAGCGATGTCAGGGCGGTCACACTGAGGAGGACATCCACCAGGAGCATCGCTGAAGATGGGTCTGTCGTGCTGGCTAAGGCAGTCCTCCGGTTGAATAGCGGCAATTCACTAAGGTAATTCGGGTGCAAAGGAGGGGAAAGAAAAAGGCGAGCGCTCAAAGCTGCTGTGCTTGTGGACTGTGGTAAATCTGTGTGTTTGTCGATCTGTTTGAATGCCAAGCAGCTGGCGATGTTCCTCTTCACAGGACTGCTGTGTGGCACTCCGTCCGCACCAGCTCGTGTGTGTGTGTTGCGGTCGTGCTTCATTCACGGATGGCACGTGCCTCGTGCGCGCGAGGGTGGGGCGTGGGGGTGCGCGCATGGGGTGCGCGACACTTTGCGCGACGTGGGTTTAGGGTGAAAAACAAGCGAAGTGCGAAGAAGAAGAAACTGCACAGACTGTTCAAGGAATTCCGCTTTCCAAACAGAGATGGACGCCATTCCCTTCCTCGAGGCAGCACCATCAACCTTTTTTTTAAAGAAGATCCAGGTTAAGAATTATTACGCCGGCGCGGGTCGCCATCCGCACGCAGTTTCACTCTCTCTATATCGCCCCTGTTGAACTCGTACCAAGTCCCTTGGTCGCTGAGCCAGAGTTCGGTCAGCACCTTATTCACGCGAAGAGTCGAGGCTAGGATCTCTAAGCCCAGAAAATCGATGCCGTTGTAGTTTAGCTTCAGCCTGAGCAGGCGCACATCGCTTCCAGGGAGGGGGGCGCACTTCTCTCCACGCCCCACCCCCCCCGCCCCTAGTATGTGGTGAAGCCTCTGAGGGGGTCGGGACCCCCCCCCCTAGACTTTTCAGCACCCTGTTGTTGCGAACGCGATGGCGCCCTTGTCACCGATATCGTCCTCCCCACCAAGACTGAGCTCGGTCAGCACCTTGCTCTCCAACACATACTTAGCAATCTCTCCAATGCTATCCGGGCCGATGCTGCAATCATCTAAGGTCAACGAGGTTATCTTATTGCGCTTCCGCTCGACTCGCACAACGCTGATGACCCCTTCATCGGTGTGAGGGGGTTATCTGAGGTTGAGGGTGGTCAGCACCTCGTTGACGCGAAGAGCGGCTGCTAGCGCCTTGACACCCTCGGGGCCGATGTTCATGTTGCTGAGCTTGAGGTCGGTGAGCACCCTGCTGGTGCGCAGCACCACGGCAATCTCGGCGGCACCCGCGTCGCCAAGAGGTAGGTATGTGTGTGCTCCAATGATAATTCCCAGTCAGTACCATCGAGGTCCAACTTGGTCACCAGTCGCATGTCCTCGATGTGCAATCCTTTTCTTCTGAGAATGTCGATAAGTCTGCTCGGATCTATGTTTGGGGGGTTCCACCCCCCGCTGTGAGCGCCTCGTGGATCGTGAAAGGCGGTGGAAATGAACTAGGATCTGCGCCCTTCTGACCACGAGGCCCACGGACGCAAGGATAGCGGCCGCCGCGCGGTTTGCATGGTCCCGGAGGACGTCTTGGATCCGGTTGTGGAGGCCGACGTGGCAGAGCTCTTCCACCAGCAGACCGAGTACGAGCGTCGGCTGTCGACGGGTAGGCTCAACGCAATGCCCGAGGCACTTCGGCTGATATCGCAGCTGCACAACGGGAATGCGCTGTCGCCGGATGAAGTTGTGGCTTCGTTGCAAGCTTTTATTGGCAACGCGGCGGCGGCCAGTGCGTGCTGCAGACGGCTTGGTGAACTCGCGGTTGCTGCCGACACGAATCCGGTGGCCCTTGCGCCTCCAGTCGCTGACACGGGAGCTTTGGAGGCAGTCGTGGCTGCAATGCTGGCGCACCGCCAGGTGCAGGCCGTTCAGGAAGAGGGTTGCTGGGCGCTGTCCAAGCTCACTGGCGGTATCGATGGCATGTCGTGCTTGTGGCGGGCGGCCGATGCGGGTGCGATCGAGGCCATCGTGGCTGCGATGGAGGCTCACGAAGATGTGGGTGTACAGGGGGGAGGCTGCCAGGCGCTAGACAACCTTGCTCTTGGCATCGAGAGCGAGGATCTCGAACGAAAGCAGCGCGCGGTCGAGGCGGGAGCAATCGAGGCGGTCGTGGCTGCCATGAGGTTTCTCCCGCACGAAGCCGGCGTGCAGGGGGGAGGCGCATCCGTCCTCTTCAAGCTGACGGTCGGCCCCGACGCAGCCGTCTCGGTCCGCAGGCAGAGGGCGGTCGACGCGGGCGCGGTCGACGTGGTGATTGGCTCACTGCAGGCGCCGGGGTGCTGCAACGGCGTGGTCGCTGCGATCCTCCAGAACCTCAAGGGCCTCTCTCCAACGCCAGAGAGGACGGAAAAGCGGGTGACCTTCGGAAAGGCGCCCGCGACGCAGTTGCCCCGGCTGGGAAGCTTTCCGCGCTGGAGCGGCGGGTGGGGAGGGTGGGACAGTGCTCGATTCTCCTCCTCAGCGCTCTCCCATGATTCCTCAGCGGCGGAGGTAACCGCAGGGCTCTCCCGCAGTTCCTCGTCGGAGGTTTGCGCAGATCTGCCGTGACGTACACGTAGAGAGGAGGGATGAGCGAGTGCAGCAATCCTTGTTGCTGAAGTGGTGGCTAGATGTGCTGCCAGATCGAGTGAGCTTCAACCCGGTGTGAGCGCCTGAGTGTGAGGAGAGTCTGTATCTGTACGAAATCGAAAATAAATCGGCCACACCGCCACACAGTGACGCACACATATTCTGACCAATGGACACACAAAAGCACAAGCAGGATCCACCCCCCCCCCCCCCTCAAGAGACGCAACGAACACCGCTGCTCCCTCCGTGGCACACCGCCTCGCCTTTTTTTTCTCCGGGCGCTGCCCGGATTCGCAGAGTTTTTCTTCTTTCTGGCGGCATGAGCGGCGCCCTCCCAACCAAGCTCGCCGACCTGGCTCGGGGCGACCTGGCCTGGCTGCGCGCCTTCCTCTCCGGGCGGCGGACGCGCGGCACGTCGCTCGCGGCCCAGCTCGACGCGCGGCACGACACCGAGAAGCAGGACACGCTGCTCACCTGGGCCGCTCGGCACGGGCAGGCCGAGGCGGTGCGGCTGCTGCTGGCAGGCGGCGCGAGCGTCGGGGCGACGACTAGCGGCGGCGCTTCCGCGCTGTATATTGCGTGCCTCCAGGGCCACCTCGAGTGCGCCCGGCTGCTCCGCGAGGCTGGCGCGGCGACCAACCAAGCAGACCCCAGAGGCGTCACGCCGCTGTCCATCGCGTGCGACAAGGGCCACCTCGAGATCGCCCGACTGCTTCTCGAGGCTGGCGCGGCGGTGGCTCATGCAGACGCCGAAGGCCGCACGCCGCTGTTCGCGGCGTGCCAGGAGGGCCGCCTCGAGTGCGTCCAGCTGCTGCGCGACGCTGGCGCGGCGGTCAACCAAGCCCGCAACGACGGCGCCACGCCGCTGATCATGGCATGCTTCAACGGCCACCTCGAGATCGCCCGGCTGCTCCTCGAGGCTGGCGCGGCGATCAACCAAGCCAAGCAGAGCGGCGCCACGCCGCTGATCATGGCATGCTTCAACGGCCACCTCGAGATCGCCCGGCTGCTCCGCGTGGCTGGCGCGGCGATCGACCAGGCCGATGAGCAAGGCGCCACGCCGCTGTTCGCGGCGTGCCAGGACGGCCACCTCGAGGTCGCCAAGCTCCTCTCCTCCTACGGCGCCTCCCGCGCCGCTACGCCCTTCGGCACGCCCGAGGAGATTGCAACCGAAGAAGGCCACGCCGACCTCGCCGCCTGGCTGGTCGCCAGCCGCGGCTGGACGCCGCTCGCGCACCTTGAGACCCTCACCGCCGCCCGCGCCACCTCCCTCCTGCGCAGCGGCGCAAGCTTGCACGAGGGCGAGCCGACGCCGCTGCGGCGCGCCGCGGGCAGCGAGGGCGAGGCGGCGGCGCTGATCCGGCGGGCGGCGGCGCCGTGGTCGCCGGCAAGCCACTCGCTCTTCCCCGCGGCGGCTCGCGCGCGGCCGGGCGGCGCTCCTCGTCCTCTCGCTCTACGAGATCCACGAGCGGTAGTGGACGCCTTCCCCGACGAGTGGCGCCGCGCCGGCAAGGCGCTCAAGGCGCTGCGATCGACATTCGCCGTCGCGGCCAGCTGAGGAGACAGTGAGGGGGTTTGCAGCTTGCGGCGCCGGGGTTCCACGCGCGTTGGTTAGTACACTCGTGCGGTCAAACGCATTATTTGTTACATTTTGACGCGATGTGGTAGAGTATGGTGTAAAGCCGCCGCGATGCGCGAGAGCAGTACACGTGTCGCACCCAACCAATTAGCGAAAGGAGCTCGAGACAATGCGGGAAAGAAGTATACGGCGAGAACAACAGCGAGCAAGACCACGAGCAGAGAAATCAGAAAACGCGCACGAAAGGCAAAACGTACAGCGACGAGACACGGGCCCTGTCGTGCCTTGTTGCAACATCAGCGCAGAGCTCGCATCGCCCCCTTCAGCTCCGCCACCTGGTCGAGCGCGTCGCCGAGCAGCCCCTTGGCCACGCCAAGGTCGCGCAGCTGCTCCACGCCGCCGCTCGCCCGCACCTCGGCGGCGTGGTCGGCCACGAAGCGGCGGCACTGCGCGAGGAGCCGCCCGTCGCCCGTCGCGTGCGCCGCCTCGAGCAGCGGCACGGCGGTCGCCGGCGCGACGCTCTCCTGCAGCGCCTGCGCGCAGAGCAGCTCGAGGCGCGGCACCTGGTACATCTGCGCCAGCTCCCGCAGGTCGAGCGCGCGCTGCGCCCTGCCGCCCTCCTCCTCGCCGAGGTCGAAGTTGTCGGTGAGGAGGTAGCGGACGAGGGCAGTAAAGCTGGCGAGGTCGGTGTGGGACACCGTGACCTCGGCGGCGTCGCGCTCCTTCATGCCGATGCCAAACATGGTCCGAAAGACAACGGACCGGGCGCAGAGGTTGTTCTTGCTCACGTGCTCGATGCGTTCCTCGTCGTCGCCGACCAGGAAAGTGACCATGCCCTGCGGGAGGGTGGCGTCGCCCCACGTCTTCGCCATGTCGGCGGAGAAGGTGGAGGGCGGAACGACGATCGGGGCAAAGGAGGGAGGCGGAGGAGGCGCCGCCACGCAGACCTGATGGAGGCCAACTATCGAACTGACCAACAGCGTGCTGCCGTCGGCGCTGATGGCGACTTCAGTTGGGTAGCTGAACTCCGAAGCTTCGCCCACGCCATCAGTGCTGCCCTCTGTGCCGCTGCCCGCGATCGTCGTCACCTCTCCCGTCGCCACCTCAACCCGCCGGATCTTGTGGTTGCCGAAGTCCGCCACAAACAGCGCGCCGGCGTCTGGGCGGATGGCGATGCCACATGGGTTGTAGAACTGCGCCGCGTCGCCCACGCCATCAGTGCTGCCCCTGGTGCCACTGCCCGCGATCGTCGTCACCTCGCCAGTCGCCACCTCCACCCGCCGGATCTTGTGGCTGCCTTGGTCCACCACAAATAGCGCGCCGCCATCTGGGCTGATGGCAAGGCCGCGTGGGCCGCAGAACTCCTCCGCTTCGCCCTCGCCGTCCGCGTCGCCACCCTCGCCGCTGCCTGCGATGGTGGTCACAGCGCCCGTCGCCACCTCGACCCGCCGGATCTTGTCGCCACCTTGGTCAGCCACAAACAGCGCGCTCCTGTCTGGGCTGAGGGCGATGCCAGCTGGGCAGCAGAACTCCGCCGCTTCGCCCACGCCATCCTCGTCGCCGTGCTCGCCGCTGCCCGCGATCGTCGTCACCTCGCCCGTCGCCACCTCAACCCGCCGGATCTTGTGGTTGCTGTAGTCCGCCACAAACAGCGCACTCCCGTCTGGGCTGGCCGCAGCGGTGTAGGCCTCACTTGCCGGCAAGGCTGCTACGCGGCGCACGCGCCCGGCCGCCGAGACGTGCAGCAGCGAGTCTTCGGTCGCGACGTACCAGGCGCCTGCGTGGTCGCTCGCGACGCCATCCTGACAGAGCGATAGAGGGCCGTCCTCGCCCTCAAGCGTCAGCATGGCGAATTGGCCGACGACGCGCGCACCAAAGAGGGGCGCCTCGAAGCCATCCGCGACCGGCACGGGCTCCTCGTCCTCCTCGCCGCCGCCGCCGCCGGTGCGGGCGCGCTTGCGGGCGGCGGACGCCATGCACGCGCAAGAGGGAAGGATTGGGACACGGTTTGGTAGGGTGCACTTCTGTCAGCAGAAAAGAATGTCGCATGGGGCCCGCTGGTGCTCAAAACAAGGCCTGTATCGTGCATGAGCACAGCCTCGAACGTACTGAGGTCGGCTATCCCGAGTTCGTTGAGCATGCGCTCCAGCACAATGCTGAGCTGCGTCGGTGCCATGTGTCGACGTGTCCAAGGGAACGGACGTCGCCGAAGGCCTTAGTTCACGCCGAAAAGTACGTCTAACGCCTCCTGCTAGCTAGGGCACGCTCCCATGCGGCTGGGGGCCACTCTCCAGCTCGATTAGGGCGCTTTTCGCGCGATTTTATGGAATTACGGATTGGAGGGGGGTGGCGGCACATAGGGGGAGGGGGAGACGCGCATCCGGGAATCAAGTTGGTGCCGGTGGGGCGGCCACACCCACTCTCCCACCTCCCAGCTCCCACCTCCCAGGCCGTGGCTACCCCCTCCCCGTACCCGGCGGGGCGGCGGCCGGCGCGCGTCGACGCGCATTAGTTTACCGCTTTTGTGAGGACAGCTCAACACGAGACAACGAGACATACATCCCCAGCTTGCGGGGCTATACAACGTTACAACCCCGCGTAGTCACCTGGCGGTTGCCCTGCCCCTGGCAAACCGGGTACGATATGGAAATACGGTAGGAAAGACTGCAGCGCCGCGCACATTGCACAAGCGTGCGGGGCGGGGCGGTCGCGGCCGCGATGCGCTGCGCGTCGGTCCGGCCCCGCGCTCAGCCCTTCTTCATGAAGAAGGCACCCATAGTCTTTTGGCCCTTCTTGAGCGGCTCGGCCACTTTCGGCTTCTTGGCAGCGGCCGGCTTGTCTGGCCGCCGCTCCTCCTTGGCAGCCGGCGCGAAGGACTCGGACGAGGACGAATGGCTCGCCTGTGGCGAGTGCGCCACCGCGGCGCCTCAGGCATGACCCCCCCCCCCACCCACCCCCCCAACCTCCTCTTCCCCACCCTCCGGCCCCGTGCCAAGCTCCTCCGGGGGCGCGCGGACACTCTCTTGGAGGGGGCGGGCCGAGGTGGTGGCGGCGAGGTTGTGGGGCCGAGGTGCGTGGGCCCCACAGGCGGCACTGGACGGAGGAGGAGTCGCGCCAGAGAGCTCGACCGACAGGCCGCAAGGCCGAGAGCAAGGCAGGTCCAGGTGGAGGCGAGGTGTGGCTACGGGGGCGGCGGGGGAGGCGGGGAGGGCGAGGGCGGCCGCTCACCGCGGGCGGCGGCGCGGTCTCCTCGGCAGCGGCCGCCTCGGCCGCCTCTGGCACGTCGAGCGACGCGCACAGCCGCGCCGCCCAGCCGTCGGGCAGATACTCACCCACAAGGTGGCACGCCGTCGCGAGGGCCGCGTCGTGCGCAGCGGCGGCGGGCGCCCCCGCCTCGTCGCCCTCGCAATCGAACTGCGTCATCGCGCGGCCCGCCGCGCCGGCGGTCGCGCCCGCCGCCTGCTGCTCCGCCGCGTGCGCACGCAGGTGCGCCGCAACCGCCTCCGCCTTGCGCCGCAGCCAGCCGAGCACGAGCGGGTCGCTCAGCCGTACCATCGGCTCGCCATACTTGTCGTTGACGTCGCAGATGGCGCGAAGCCGCTCGCTGAGACCGCTCAGGCGCGTGAGATGCTGCTCGAGCCCCGCCTCGTCGCCGCCAAACGCCTCGGAGAGCGGCTTGTACAGGCCGGCGCTGGACTCGCGCTTGAGGCTGCTGGCGCCGCCGCGCGCGCGCTCGAGCAGCGGGAGGAGGAGGAGGAGGGGGTCGATCGGCGTGGCCAAGTACAGCGCGCCGTCCTGCACGACCTGCTCCAGCCCCGCCACCAGCCACGACGCCTTTGCCGCCTTTGGAGGCACGTGCCGGTGGACTTCGAGGATCGCAGAGTCGGCGCGCCGGCCGAGCATCATCGGGTCTGACGTGCGAGGGTGGCGTGCGACGAAGAAGATGAGCTCGCCCTCGCCATGCGCAACGAGCAGGCGCGTCGGCATGCGTCGTTTGGCTGAGGTTCGCGCGGGAAATTCCTTTCTTTTTTTGAGCTTAGCCTTCGTTGTAATGAAACAAACGCAAGGCGGACATGGCATATCGCTCTCGGGCCCACAGACATCCCACACACCCGCCGCCCCCGCGCGCGCCCCACCCCGGCCGGGAGAAAGGGGAGTGACAGTTTGGGACGGCGACAGACGAGATACTGTTCCTTCCCCACCTTCCTCTACCTACTACCTAACCTCCACCCACGGCCCGCGCAACACACATGGCTAGGTGGGATTTACGTCTCGTGCCGCACATCAGTTGCTGCAGCAAGTAGAGAGAGACACCCGGAGGTGAAAACGGAACGCCCCCGCCTGAGCCCCTCTGCTCTCAGCGTAGGTAGCGGAAACGTTAGAGCTCTCGCTCCCCCATCCGGCACACCACCTCGCGGGAGCGCAGGGCGTGCCCCGCCAGCCGAGCCGCCCGCAGTTCGCCCGAGCCACCCGCCCCGACTCCACAGGCACCGAACTCGCTCCTGCTCCCACCGCCGCGCGCCGGCGGACCGCGGACCGGAGAGGTCCCATCGCTCATCCGCGTCATGCTCCGTCGCGCGCGCGTGTCACGTTTCAGCGAGCGAAGCAAGAAAACCCGCTCGCGCACTCCATGGCAATACCGCAGTCCGGACATCTACCAGCGAAATATTTAGTATCTGCGAGATGAGCAAGAGTGTGGCAGACACGCGCGCACGCATCCACCCTCTTCTCCTCGAGCTCTTCTCTCAGCTTGCGCCAGAAGCAGAACGCTCGAAGACCCCGAATATAGCCCGATCAATGCCCGAGGACACTATTGCTGCCTTCTCCTCTCAATCGGACGGCTGGCAATCCAACGATAGATGTTCATGTCGATGGGGGCGTGATCCGGCACAAGCTTGCCCGCCGCGTCCGTGGACATGTTACCTTGCTGAGCCGCGATCCGAAGGTGCGGGTTGTTGTAGATGGCGGCTTTGCGCGCCATCGTCTGCGCGAATTGCGCGTCATTCGCCTCGTTTGCTGTCCTGAGGCTAGGGCAGCTAGGCAGTCCCAACCGTTTGCAAACCACTAGCGTGAGGTTACTCATGAGCTCCAACGGGGCGAGCAGGTCGAACTGGGCGAGTGTTCGAAATGCAGCGCGCTCCAACCGCTCAGCACCACCGCCGCCGTCGCCGCCCCTCAATAGATCACGCGTCTGGTAGTTGGCCTCCTCCCGCACAAACTGCACAAACGTCCGACGCTCGGACCGCTTCGTCTTCATGTTGTACTTGTAGAGGCTGACGTACTGCTGGGGCGGCCACCGCCACACAGCGATGAACAGCACTTGACACCCGCGCATCGTCGCCGAACGGCGCACCGAGGGGGCCAAAGCGCGCAGCATGGAGGACAGGTGCATATCCTGCGCGTGGATCTCCAGGACAGCCCGCCACGGCAAGTGCGATAGCTCAAACCGCGGGTGTGGCGTCCGCTGCGGCGCCACCCACTGAGGTTGCCAGCCGGCGGTCTGGCTGCAATTTCCAGCAAACCGGCACCCGAATCGGCGCAAGATATACGCGTGCTGGCTCATGACATGCCGACAAGAGCTCGTGGGCCGCCGCCGCGTTCGGTTGCCATGGGCCCCATCCACTCCTTGTGTATTCCGGCCGAGAACGCAGATCCTGTCATCCAGGTGTGACCACCCGCTGTGGTACACGTACTGGCCACGGACCTGGAGCTCATGGAACCAGTTGCCGAGTGCTGTGCCGCCACACTTGGTCATGTGCTTGAAGATTGCGAGTCCACACGCCGCTCCCACCTCGTCCTGCACCGGCTCGCCTCTACGGCATCGAGCGTCCGAGCACGGGAGATGCGGAGGCCTCATGACATCCGCAGTGTGGGCTATGTACTCGATAACACCGTCGCGACGCGCTTGACTTGCGACGAGACTTCTGGGCACGCTTCAACGGCGCGAGCGCATCGACTCACTATATATGGTCACGGAGTCATCCGTCCGTCCCTGCAAACGGCACTCCAGCCTCCTCTGCCCACCCCCCCCCCCACCCCCCACCCCCCGAGACTTATCAGGGTTGGGTTTGAATGCCCAGGGCCTCAAGGTCTCGCGGAAATAAAAAATAAAGCAGGCATCTCCAGGGGGGCTGGGCGACGCACGAACACAGAGAGAGGCACAGCCGGCGCACCCCGCCCCGCTCGCAGGGCGTGCATCACCTCTGATAGATTGAAAAAGAAAGAAACCGACAACGCGAGGGAGGGATCGGAGGAAAGAAAGAAAGAAAGAAAACAGACAACCCAAGGGAGGGATGGGAGGACGGCACGCACGCCGCCACCACACAGGGATTTTCAAGGAGAGGAGTGTGGTGCTAGCCGTCGCCCACCCTAACCCTTGGGCGTCTGCCTCTTTCTATCTCCCTTCGCAGTCCCTCGCCGATTCTCGCTGCAACCTTCATGCCACCTCGCGGTCGCCCCACTCTCGTCGTTCCCTCCTGTCGCTTCCTCCTCTGTCGCGTCGCTCTCGTCTGCCTCATCCTGCGACGCCGCCGCCGCCTGCCGATCCTTGCTCTCGCGGCTTCTCCCGCCTTTCGGCGCAACTCTGCCCTCCTCGCGGCATATTTTGGCCCCTCGAGTTTATCGAGCTCTCCTCGCGCAAGGACGACTCTTCTGACGCCCACTGCTATCATTTGCCGCCAAGTCATGTCGTTGCTCAGGTCCACTCTCGCTTCGGACACTTGTACCTCCACAGATGGTGTTGGCGCTGGGGTCCCCTTCGGGTGCATCGTGACAAGGATCGGACATCGAAGGACCAGCGCAGAGATTTCTTTGTCCACCCTGTTGCTCGTGCGATGAGGGCGGCTGCTCGGGTGGCGCTGTGCTTCCTTCTTCTGCCCGCCTCGGGTCTGGTCTTGCCGGCTGCTCGCGTCGCCCCGCGCGCCGGGTGCGTCTGCGCCGCGTGCGGGCCGGCCGCGCCGGAGCCGCAGGGCGGCTTGCGGCGTGTGCTGCAGCGGCTGCGGCGGCCGCACACAAGCCCGGCGAGGCCCGGGCTGCTCAAGCGGGTGGGCGGCGCCTTCGCGGTCGCGTCCGCGTCGGTGCTCCTCCGCGCGCCCGGCCCCGCCGTCGCGGCGCCGGTGACCACCTCCGGCGCCACCTCCATCAGCCGCACAAAGAGCTCCAAGAAGACGACAAACTTTGCGGGTGCGCCGCCGCCGCACCGGCCTGCGGCACACGCGCGTGCGCGCGCGCGCGCGCGCCAGTCCGCCACGCTGGAGGCAACCCCCTGCAGCTGCCCCGCCCCCCTCGGAGCCCGGCGGCTCCGCCACCAAGAGCGCTCGCGCTCCGGAGGCGGGGGCGGGACGCGCCGGCGGCCTAGCTACCACCCCACCCACACCTGCGGCGCAGCGGCGCGGCGAGCCTCCGCCTCCCAGCGCTTGGATGGGGGAGAGGCGCGGAGCCGGGTGGGACCCGACGCCTCGCCCGCCCCCCTCTCTCTCCCCGCGCAGGCGTCGCGCTGATCGGTGGCGTGAGCGGGTACTGCATGTACGCGGCGTCGCGCGAGCAGGAGGAGGAGAATGAGCGGATTGACGAGGAGAACAAGCGGCTCGAGCAGCTGCAGTCGGACTTCCGCGTCGACAACTCCGTCTTCAAGGATGACGACCTGATGGCGTCGCTCAAGAAGCGGATGGGGGACGGGGGTGGGCCGGACGGAAGCGACGGCGGCGGCGGTGGCGAGGGCGGCGGCGGGCCGCCGCCTCCAGAGCCAACATCATCGCCACCGCCGCCGACGGTGGGCGGGGGCGGCGGCGCGGCGGTGCTCGAGCCTCCGGCGCGCGCGTCTGCCGGCGGAGGAGCCGAGATTGGCCCCGAGATTCACCCGAGGTTGACCCGAGGTAAGCGCGCGAGCAGGCGCCATCGCCGGCGGAGGAGGAGCCGCCGACCATGGGGAGCGACGAGGAGGTGGAGAGGCTCAAGCGCATGTTCAACCTCGGTGACGGCGAGTGAGGAGCGCTCAGCCGGAGGCGCGGCGGGCGAGGCCACCGCCGGCGGGGCAGCGGGGCGGGCGCGCCGCTTTCACCAGCGCGGCGCCGCTGCGCCGGCTTCCGGTGCTCTGTGCGGAGAGAAGGTTGAAGGGGGGGTAAGGGGGGGGGAGGGGGCCACGGGACGGCTCCCTCGCCCCCCGCTGCGGCACGGGCCGTGGCGCCTCGCAAGGTCTAGCGGCGGGCGGGCAGTGGTGTGGCAGTGTGGGATGCACACAGGCCTGACCATGCTCCGAGGCGTTGAGATCCCTACCCGCTGTGTGCTGCGGCATTCTGAGACCTCCTGTGACACAAGCAGGATCCATACGACCTCGAGGAACACTCGTACACACAAATTTACCCCTCGATCGCCCCGATCGCCTCCGTCACCTCGGCAACTAGCCGCGACGCCTCCCCCTCGCTGCGCGGCCCGTCCCTCCGCCACCTCGTCGCGTCGTGGTGCCTCGCCGCGTTCGCCCAGATGCGCAGCGAGTGCAGCTGGCTCCGTAGCTCGGTCGGCAAGCCGCACTCGCGGTGCCAGTAGTTGATGCGCTCCTCGAAGCCGTCGGGCGCCGCCGCAGAGCGCGAGGCGTAGACGGCGTCGAGGCGCGGCATTAGCGTGTTGAAGGCGAGCAGCATGTTGCCCTGGATGCGCGCCTGCGCGTCGCCGCCCGTGCGCATGCCGCGCACCTGCACCGAGAGCGGCGAAGGCTCGTACCCGGTGGTGCGGGCGGCTGCTGCAGCGGCCTCGTCTCCAAAGGCCGGCGCAGCTTCTTCCACCCCCGCCCCGCCCCGCGCGCCAGACAGCAGCGCCCGGAGCGTCAGCAGCGCCTCGGGCAGCGTGGGCCGCTTGCGCAAGCTGTGGTGGCAGAGGCTCTTCTGCCCGTCCCCCGCCTGCGCGAGGTCCTTTACTGTGCGCGCCGCGTCGACTGGCCAGCCCGCAGCCACGTCGGCGAGCTTCACCGCGTCGATGTCGGTCCAGTCCTCCTCGAACTCGTCCTCGCACCGGTCGGTGAGCTGCACCTCGGACCGGCTGGTGAGGCAGACGAGGAGGGTGATGCCAATGGCGTAGCCGTCCGTCTTGCTCGAGTACTCGCCGCCCTTGGTAATGGAGGGGCAGAGGTAGCCCGTGGACATGTAGAGGGCGGTCGAGCGGCAGCGGACAGACGCCTCCGGACGCTGGTCCTTGGCGAAACCCGTGTCGGCGAGCACGGCGGTCAGCTTCTCGTCGAGCAGGATGTTGTCCGGCTTGACGTCGCGGTGCACGATGCCCTTCGAGTGGAGGTAGACGAGCGCCTCGGTCGCCTCGCACGCGACACGAACGCGCTGCCGCCACGTCAGCGGCCTCGGCGGCTCTACCATTCCCAGCCGCCGGAGCTGCGCCGCGCGGTCGGGATCCGAGAGGCGCAGCCGCGCCTCGAGCGAGCCGCCGCGCATCAGCGGCGAGAGGAGGCAGACGCCGTCGGGCGAGAGGCAGTAGCCGAGCAGCGGCAGCAAGTGCGGGTGGCTCACCGCCTTTAGCAGCTTCACCTCGAGCTCCGCCCGCGACAGGCCGCCCGACTGGCCCGACTTTGCCCGCTTGACGACGAGCGGCAAGTGGCGCAGCTGCGGCGGCGCGGCGAGGGAGAGGTGGAGGTCGGCCGAAGCCTCGTAGACGTGGCTGAAGCCGCCGCTGCCAATCAGCTTGCCCTCTGCAAACCCGTCCGTAGCCGCGGTGAGGTCCGACAAGGCTATCTCGACGGGCCGGGCAACCGCCTCTTCCGCCGCAGCCTGCTCGGCGGCGACAGACAGAGTTTCCAGCTTCGACTCCGCCGCGCTCACCTCCTCGGCCAAGGCAGGCAGCGCGCCCACGTGCGGCCTGGCGGCAGCGATGCCCGCTCGGAGCGCGGAGGGGCTGTCTGCGGTGTCGAGCGACTTGAGCGCGCCCATCGCCGCGCCATGCGCCTTGCGCAGCCGCTGGCTCTCCCTCTTTCGCGCCTCCTTGAGCTTGTCGCGCGCGCGCTTCGCCGCCGCCAGCACGGCCGGGCTCGCGAGGCCGCTGCACGCCTCCAGCGCACTGGCTAATCTCTCGTACGAGCCAGCGGCCACAGCCTGCTGCAGCGCCTCGTCCGCCGCAGCGATGGCGGCTGCGTTGGCGGGCGGAGGAGATGGGGCTGACGGTGGGGCTGGCGGCTGCAAAGCGGCGGTGGCGCTAGGGCCAGGCGCCGCGTTGTCTGCCTTACCGCCGCCGCTCTTCTTCTTCTTCTTCTTGCCCTTCTTGCTCTCCTTGGCGCGCTCCTCCTTCTCCGCCTCCTCCTCCGCCAGCAGCGCCTCGGCATGCCGCGCCGCCTCCGCCTCTGCCGCCGCTCTCTCCGCCTCCCTCGCCGCCGCCGTCTCCGCCGCCGCCGCCGCCGCATGCTCCTCGATGGCGCGCACGCACTCGGCGCAGCCCTTCTCCTTGGCAGCATGCAGCGCCGTCTTGCCGTTCTCAGCGCGCGCCGTCGTATCCGCGCCCGCCCGCAGCAGGTGGAGCACGATGGCGGGGTGGTTCAAGAGGGCGGCGAACATCAGCGCGGTGCCGCCGTTGCTGTTCTGCAGGTTGATCTCAGCGCCGCGCCGTATCAGCAACTCGACCATCCGCTCGTGGCCTTGGTCGGCGGCGTTCATCAGCGCGGTGTCGCCGTGGCTGCCCCGCAGGTTGACCTCAGCGCCGCGCCGTATCAGCAAGTCGACCACCCGCTCGTGGCCTTGGTCGGCGGCGTACATCAGCGCGGTGAAACCATTGGTGCTCTGCAGGTTGATCTCCGCGCCGCGCTGCAGCAGCAGCTCGACCACCCGCTCGTGGTCGTAGTTGGCGGCGGTCATCAGCAGCGTGATGCCACTCACGCCGTCTCTCTCGTACGTCGCGTCGGCCCGCCCGCCGCCCTCGAGCCACGCCAGCACCGCCGCCTCCTCGCCTCGCTCCGCTGCTGTCACAACCGCGTCGGGGGCTGCCGCGGCACCGCCTGACACCGGCTCCGCAGCCGCCAGCGACAGATTGCCCGGCCGCACTCGCACGCTCTCGCCGCCGCCCTCGAGCGCCACCGCGTACCGGCCGCCCTCGAAGCTCTGAGCCACGCCCCGCTGCCCGTTCAGCTCGGGGCGGGAGGAGAGCCCGCCGAGCACGACGCGCTGGCCGAGCAGCGGCGCGTCCTCAGCTGCCGCTGCCGCGCCCGAGGAAGCGCGGTCGGCCCCTACTCGGCCCTCCGCAGCCGCCGCCGCTGCCTCAGTCAAGATCTTGACGCACTCGGCGTTGCCCTTCTCCTTGGCCGTCTGCAGCGCCGTCATGCCGGTCACACTGCGCGCCGCGGTGTCTGCGCCCGCCCGCAGCAAGCGCCGCACGACGGCGGGGCGGTTGAAGAGGGCGGCGAACATCAGCGCGGTGGAGCCTATGCTGTCCTGCAGGTTGACCTCTGCCCCGTGCCGCAGCAGCAGCTCGACCAGCCGCTCGTGGCCGTTGCCGGAAACGTACATCAGCGCGGTGTAGCCGTTGCTGCTCTGCAGGTTGAGCTCCGCGCCGTGCTGCAGCAGCAGCTCAACCACCCTCAAGTGGCCGTAGAAGGCGGCGCCAATCAGCAGCGTGAGGCCGCTCACCTCGCCTCTCTCGTACGTCGCGTCGGCCCGCCCGCCGCGATCAAGCCACGCCAGCACCGCCTCCTCCTCGCCTCGCTCAGCTGCTGCCACGACCTCGTCGGAGACTGCAACGCCACCGCTCGGCTCAGCCGCCGCAGCCAGCGACAGATTGCCCGGCCGCACTCGCACGCTCTCGCCGCCGCCCTCGAGCGCCACCGCGTACCGGCCGCCCTCGAAGCTCCGCGCCTCGCCCCGCTGCCCGTTCAGCTCGGGGCGGGCCGAGAGCCCGCCGAGCACGACGCGCTGGCCGAGCAGCGGCGCGTCCTCAGCTCCCGGGGCCATATATATATCGCCCACGGGTTTTCTTTTTTGAGAGCGCCTTCGTTGTTAATAGTACAAACCCAATGGTCCTCTGCGAGCGGTCCTTCGTTGCAGACGCACACACGCACACGCCACGCCGCACCGCGCGCCCGCCCGCCGCCCCGCCCAGGCGGGAAAGAGGTGGGGAGATGGGACAGCGTTTTCTTTTTCTTCCGCGGTTCAGCGAAAAACGGTTCTGCGAAAAACGAGGGAGGGCTCTCTTTTTCTCGGAAGCCTCCGGCCGCGAGTCGGATTTTACTGGTATTATTCTCTGGGGGGGCGCGGGGGCGCGGGGGCCCCCGGAGGCACCGTGCGCCGCGCAACAGTGCGGAAACGGGGCCCCGGCGCTCATACTCGCTCATATTACCGCCTTCCCGAATGATCACGGTTGATCAGAGGGCAGATTTGGAGAGATCTCGAGGAGTACATACAGATAGACCCTCTAACCATAAGAAACTTCCAACCTGATCGGTCGTACTGACCGCCGACAGATCACTCCAGACAGCAGACAGGCCGACGTCTGCACGCGGCCGGCCGGGCGAGAGGCTTGACACGATCCGACCCTGCGAGACCCTGACGCTGCTGCTCTAGCTATCAGACATGCACTGCTGACTGCTGCCACAATGTGCGACCTGTGCTGGCCCACTTGGCGGCCTTCCCGGTCAGTGGTGAGGCGCAGTTCAGAGCTGTCGATGGCGCGATGCCGCACTGGTCCGACATTGGTGACACGAGACCACCAAGTTTGCCGGTCCAAGAGAGAGGCACTGGTGCTGTCCTGAGAAGGTGCGTGGTCCCTCTTGACTGCCCATGCGCGCGAGGCTGTGTAGGCATAGCCTCGAGAGTGCCAGCAGCCAATCTGAGGCAGTTTGTGACGCGCATTGCGTCAGAAGCGTGCACACGTTGGAAGGACACCTTCCTACTGGCCGTACGATCAGGTCGTCACTGAATGCTTGATACTAAGGCCGCGAGCTATGCAGGCGATCAATTGTGCAGCATAGCACGGTCAGCAGCGCCGACAGGCTGTCGCAAGGCGTGATAGCACTGAGCTCTGGTCTGACAGCCTGACAGCAAACCCCGGACAGCGCCTGACAGTGCCCGACAGCCTGACAGCGCTGACAGCACTTTCTCCGACAGCCTGACAGCACGTATCTGACAGCCTGACAGCAGAGTCTGACAGGCGAGGTGCTCCGTCGCTGTCAGGCCCTAACGTGACAGCCTGACAGCTGCCCGACAGCCCGACAGCACACAGTGGCCTGACAGCAGCGCTGACAGCCCGACCAGCCCGACAGCAGCACAGACCGTACACAGACCGTATACAGCCTCTTTCTTGTGCCCCATGAGAGTTGAACAAAACTATTACATGCAAAGACATGCACATGCTACATAGTCTTATGGGTTGAGATATGGCTAAAATGAGCCGCGGTCCGCGGTCCCAAATGAACGAGGACACATTTGCTCCATGTACCATGAGTGAGGAGTCCTGCCATGAGGCTCATCGGATGAGGTGCTCTTTCTCAATATCTCGACGTAGCCGTCAAACGCGGGCCACGGTCACGTTCACGAGCGCCGTAGCGAGGTGGGCCTCGTAAAAGGTGTCGAGTGCGGTAAGCTCGAGCACGAGGAGGCGGATCAGGGGCGCCTCGAGCGCGCCGGCGAGCTGCTCGCTGCCGACGATGTCGACCAGCAGCTGGACGGAGCGCTTGCACGCCGCATCCATCGGCTCGTCCTGCGACTGGAACCGGAGCAGGGAGCGCAGCCGTACGCAGAGTGCCGCACAGAGAGGTGGCAGCACGTCGGCGATGGCATCGGGGGAGGAGGCTACCCCATCGGAGAGCACGCCGAGGGCATGCATCAGCTCCACCTCGGCGGCCTGCTCTGACTGGGCCTGCGACAGGGTGGGTGGGTGGGTGGGTGGGGGGGGGGGGGGGTGAGGGAGGTGCCCTCCTCACTGCTAACCTGCCTGTAGGGCGGGGGGTGGGAAGAAGCGCCCCACCGTCTCCACGGGGTCGACGAAACACTTTGGCGCTCTCGCTTGCCGCTTCGCGCTCAAGCTGGCGTCGGAAGCGGTGGCGCGCGACGCACCTGAAGAGAGAAACAAGCGCGTCATGGCCAGAGAGAGAGAGAGAGAGAGAGATCGGGTCGGGTCACAGACACTCGCCTGCAGCGGCCTCGCCGGCCACTCGGCGGGCGAGGCGAGGAGTGCGCACTGGAGCGACGACCGGCGGAGGCGAAGCTAGCGGCGCGTCCTTCCGATTGCTGCTGGCCTCGCGCCGTGGTCGCTGGGCGCGCGGCGGCGTGCTCTCGTCTTTGAGCCCCCCCCCAGACAAGCTCCTCCGCCTCCCGCCCTGTTGGGTGCCCCGTACCGCCGCGAGGTTGAGCTTGAGGGTGCCTGGCGGGGCTGCTCGCTCTGCGCCGCCCCCCGCCGGCTCGCCCCCGCCGAGCGCCTTTCCGACGCGCTCGGCTCGCTTGGGCGGCATCCGGCAGACCCACGCGACTGCCGCCTCCGAGGGCAGCTTGCGGCCGACGGCCGCCGCAGCCTCGAGCCCGAGGGCGCGTACCTGGAGGAGGGAGGCGAGGGGTGGCCCGGGGGGTGGTGCGCGATGTGGTGTGGTGAGGGCTGGGGGGTTGGACGGGGTCGGCGGTGGTGCATATACCGGAGCTACCAGGATGGGGGCTCGGATTAGGGTTACACACTGGTGACAAGCCGTGTCAGGGGTCACGACACTGGATGCGTCCGGGCGCGTGCCGGACACCCCCCTGTCCGAGACGTGTCCAGGACAGGACCGTGCCCGGGCCTGACCTGTCTGGTCATACCCATATACACGGCGGCGGTGGAGAGCGCACCTCGGCCGTCGCGTCCTCTTCCAGCAGCTGCAGCGGCGCGTCGAAGGCGTCGAGGGCGCGCCCCACGCCCTCGGCATCGGCGGCGGAGACGGCGGCCGCGAGCCACCGCGCGGCGGTCGAGCGGAGCTGCGTGTTTGTGCTCCTGCTCATGGCGGCGAGGGCGAGCTCGGCCGCCTCGGCCAGCGTGAGGCACGAGGCGGTCGAGAGTGCGGCGAGGCAGCCCCGCACCGCCTCGGCCACGACCGCCTTCTTGTCGGCGCCCCTCTTGAGGAGCGCCGGGGCGGCCTGCAGGGAGAGACGAGAGGTGAGTTGACGACTCACACACAGAGTGGTGCTGGGGCAGGGGCGGGGGCGATGCATCTCCACGTCCAAAGACAGAGGCGCCCCGCGGGACCCATCGATGCCCCAGTGCAAGGCGCGATGTGCGGGGGGTGTAGTCTTTGTGCGTGTGCACGCGCGTGCGTGTGTGTGTGCGTGTGTGCGTGTGCGTGTGTGTGTGTGTGTGTGTGTGTGTGTGCGTGTGTGCGTGTGTGTGTGTGTGTGTGTGTTTGTGCGCGCGTGTGTGCGCGCGTGTGTGTGCGTGTGTGCGCGAGCCGCCTGTTGCGCGAGCGAGCGGAAGCCTGGCCCGAGCACCCGGGCGAGCGAGCCTACAAGTGTCGCCCTTGCAACCCATCAACACACACTGGAGGGAAGGGGCGCCCCTTGTCGGTGCGGAGGGCCGGTGGATTTAATGGCTCTCTCTCTCTCTCTGTCTCTGTGTCTCTCTGTGTCTCTCTGTCTCTCGCTCTCCCCCCTCTCTCGTCCTCTTCCTCTCGCTCCCTCTGCCGCACCGGTAGCTTTAATGGCGGAGGCGGCGACGTTGACGTTGGCGTCCTGGTAGAGCCGCTTGAGCGGCCGCAGCACCAGCGCGTGGTCGGCCTAAAAAAGAAAACCCACCAGCCATTCCTCACTCCAGAGCCGCCTGAGGCGCTCTCCCCCGCCAGCACGTGGCCGGCCGGCTTGAGCGAGCTCTGCCCCTCGAGCAGCGACGCGACGAGGTCGGCCGCCGCCTGGAGGGGAGGGGGAGGGGAGAGGGGGGGAAGGAGCGAACAGGTGGGCGAGAGAGGGTGCGAGAGGGCGAGGGAGGGTGAGGGAGGGTGAGAGAGGGTGTGTATCACCGGTAGGGCGGAGCGGGTGCGAGCTTCAGAGGGCGTGTGGTCAGAGGGCGTGGTCAGAGGTTGCGAGTTTGGCCGCGGCGCCTTGCGCTCGGACCACTTGTCGGAGAGGGTCTGCGTCTCCCACGCGTCGGCAGGCTCCTTGCTCCCCTTCGACCTCGGCAGCTTGGCCAGCAGGTCGAGGGGGGGCATCGCCATGGGCGGCGGAGCAACCACCGCAGCGGACGACCCCTGGCGCTGGAGGAGGTGCTTCTTGGTAGGCGGGAGCGGCGCCTCGCGCAACGCGGTGAGTCGATCCTCGGGCACGCCCTTGAGCTGGCTGAAGATGCCTGCGAGGCGCGAGCGGGGGGCGGAGGGCCGCACCCGAGGCCGTGAGTAGGAGAGGGAGAGGCGGCGAGGGCGGCAAAGGGCATACGCGCAAGGGCGACGGCAAGGGGAACGAAAGGTGGTAGCGCGCCGTCGCCGAGCCAGTGCCTTACCGCGCCGACTAGCGCCGCCGCCGCGTCACGCACACTCTTGTCGCGGTGCTGCAGCAGCGTTGGCAGCTGCTTGACCACCGGGCCGGCGTCGAAGGCGGCCGCGCCGCACTCTAGCAGCGCCTCCGCCGACGCCTTGAGCGCCGCCGCACACGTCTTTGGCGCCTTGCTCCTGACGCCCGCCTCGAGCGCCGACTGCACTGGCTCCGCGCCTCCGCGCCGGAGGAGGGAGAGGAGGGCGGCGATTGCCTTGGGCTGGTACTTGCCCGGCGCGTGCTTCTCCATCAGCGCCTTGGCCACCGCGCCCGCCACCCCTACCACCGCCTCGGGCGAGACATACTCGAGCCATGCGATCGTCGCATCGAGCGCCCCCTCGTGGCAGATCGGCGCCCTGTCCGCCAGCAGGCGCGGGATGTGGTCGGCGTGCTCCGCCGCCGCCTCCGCGTCCGGCGGCCCGCTCTCCCCGCCGAGAATCGCCGCCAGCTCCAGGTACGCGGCCTTGCGGACCGCGGGCGCCGTCGCCACTAGGCGGTCGCCTAGCGGCTTGCCAGATTGGTCGTCGGCGGGCGCTGGCGGTTGCTCCTCCTCACAGAGGTCCGCCAGCGCTCTGTCCGCCAGCGCTGCTGCCGAGTCCGAAGTAGCCATGTCAACGACGGGGGGGCATTCAAGTGCCAGAGCGCCAGGACAACGACGGTCGACGGCGTCTTTTTAGGGTGTTGTGTGCGCGTCAGAGAGAGAGAGAGAGAGAGAGAGACTGCGCCGTCAGAGTCACTGAGTGACTCTCTGTTCTTCACGTGTGTGTGTGTGTGTGTGTGTGTGTCACTCTGTTCTTCACCTTTCTACCTACCTACCTACTCTGTGTGGCCGTCCATCAGAGCTCCAATAAGCTCGGAGACAACCCATCAGCGCGGCTCGGCTCTTTGAGTTCACTGCCTTCCCGGCGGTTTGGCTGTAGAGAGAGATTTTGGGTTTTGGCTGTAGAGCCTCTCCATGTCTCCAACAAACTCTATACAGCAAATCGCGCTCTACATCGCTCTACAACGGTCAACGGAGGCGCTTCGTCCCGCGGCGGATGTTGAGCTCTACAGCTCTATTATAAAATGAACTCGGGGGCACGTGACGCGGCACAAACGGGGCACAAACGCCACAACACAATTAGATTTGTTTGGTATTGCTACTGTACTGTACGAAAGTGTGAACAGGTTGGAGCAGCGGCTCCTGACCACGGCGCCGCAGGCGCCTGTTGATGGGTCCAGGTGATAGCCCTGGATGGGCAATGCATACGCCTCACTGGGCCTTAGATCGCCCGACCGCGTCCCGGTGCTCTGCCGTCGGATTTGTGACGCCGCCGCACCGCGCCGCGGCCGGGGGCCCGCCGGAGGACGAGGATGGCCGTGGCGGACCGGCCGGGACGAGCTCTGGGAGGTTCAGTGTCAGTGAGTATATTGTAGAGGCCACCCATGTGCACAATATCTTGACTGAGAGCTAAGCCAGGGGAGGCGATGCCGGGGCCGTACAGCAGCTTGATGGTGCTTCGCCGGCGTGCGTCCCGGAGCGGTGCCGGACGGGCGGTCCTGGGGAGAAAATCCGGGCATCACGCCGACGGCGCTGACGACACGCTTGAGCGAGAGAACACAAAAATGAAGACTTGTCTGGCGGGAACATGAGCAGCGCCATCCTCCCGACCCGCCTCGCCGACCTGGCTCGGGGCGACCTTGCCTCGCTGCGCGCCTTCCTCTCCGGGCGGCGGACGCGCGGCACGTCGCTCGCGGCCCAGCTCGACGCGCGGCACGACACCGAGAAGCAGGACACGCTGCTGACCTGGGCCGCTCGGCACGGGCAGGCCGAGGCGGTGCGGCTGCTGATCGAGGGCGGCGCGAGCGTCGGGGCGGCTGACAGCGGCGGCGCCACCGCGCTCCTCCTCGCGAGCGAGGGGGGGCACCTCGACTGCGCCAGGCTGCTCCTCGAAGCGAGCGCGGCGATCAACCAGGCCGATGAGGCTGGCACCACGCCGCTGTACGTCGCGAGCCAGGAGGGCCAGGTCGAGTGCGTCAGGCTCCTTCTCGAGGCGGGCGCGGCGATAGAGCAACCCATGGACGACGGCACCACGCCGCTGAGCGCTGCGAGCTTCAACGGCGAGCTCGAATGCGTCCGGCTGCTTCTCGAGGCCGACGCTGACATCAACAAAGCCCTGGAGGACGGCGCCACGCCGCTGTACGTCGCGTGCGAGAAGGGCCACCTCGAGTGCGCCCGGCTGCTGCGCGGCGCTGGCGCTGACATCAACCAAGCCGATGAGGAGGGCGCCACGCCGCTGTTCGCGGCGTGCCAGGAGGGCCGCCTCGAGTGCGTCCAGCTGCTGCGCGACGCTGGCGCTGACATCAACCAAGCGATGAACGGGTGCCAGAACAACCACCCCGAGATCGCCCGGCTGCTCCTCGAGGCTGGCGCGGCGATCAACCAAGCCAAGCAGAGCGGCGCCACGCCGCTGATCATGGCATGCTTCAACGGCCACGTTGAGAGCGCCCGGCTGCTTCTCGAGGCCGGCGCGGCGATCGACCAGGCCGATGAGCAAGGCGCCACGCCGCTGTTCGCGGCGTGCCAGGACGGCCACCTCGAGGTCGCCAAGCTCCTCTCCTCCTACGGCGCCTCCCGCGCCGCTACGCCCTTCGGCACGCCCGAGGAGGCCGCAACCGAAGAAGGCCACGCCGACCTCGCCGCCTGGCTGGACGCCAGCCGCGGCTGGACGCCGCTCGCGCACCTTGAGACCCTCACCGCCGCCCGCGCCACCTCCCTTCTGCGCAGCGGCGCAAGCTTGCACGAGGGCGAGCCGACGCCGCTGCAGCGCGCCGCGGGCGGCGAGGGCGAGGCGGCGGCGCTGATCCGGCGGGCGGCGGCGCCGTGGTCGCCGGCAAGCCACTCGCTCTTCCCCGCGGCGGCTCGCGCGCGGGCGGCGCTCCTCGTTCTCTCGCTCTACGAGATCCACGAGCGGTACCACCTCGACTCGGCTGGAGCCACGAACGGCATCGCGGCGCTCGACTTTGGCCACTGCGTCTTGGGCTTCGCCATCACGCGCGAGACGGAGTAGGGGCGTTTCGCCACCCTCTCCCTTGGCACGCGCCAGGCGAGGCTAGGCGACGCGAGCCATGTGAGCCAGCGGCTGTGGGAGAGAAGAACGGATTCTCGTACATGGAGTGCGATGTAGTCGACTGTTGCGATCTCAATCTGTCCCTGGCCTTCGCGTCTCTCGAGTGAGCTTTTGGGATACTCGCCTCCGTTTTGCCGGCAAAACGTTGGGGCACGTCGACGGTCCGATCCCGCGTTTTGCTTCGTTGTTCGTGCGCGGTTCCGCCCGTCGCTCGGCGCCGCTCGGCCGCTGCGCCTGCGGTTGCCGCCGCATGCGCCGGCTCGTTCGCGTCGCTTGTGTTCACTCTTAACGTTTTTCGTGTGTCTCGGGTCTGTATGTGTCGCTAAAGCCGTAGCCGCCCGTAAAAAAAACTAAAAAGAAAAAGGAACGCCTCTCGTCAGGGGCGGGGAACCCGCAATTTGAGATGCTGAGGGCATTTTGAGTTGCAAAAAATCAATTTAGATTGCATTTTTCAATTCAGAATGCCGAGTTGACTTTTCGCATTTCAAGATGCACACCGCATTCCAAAGATGGTCCACGCATTCCAGGATGCGTCGACCATCCTGGAATGCGAACTGCATTCGTGAATGCGCTAGCATCTGGAGTTACCCCTTTGCATTCTAGGATGCTCCTTGCTATTTCAAGTTGCCTTCCTTAACCTGATATGCCCAGCATTTTGGCCAATGCCGCATGTCGGCGGGGCATCGGGTAGGCTGCGGCTCGGCCTGCGCCTCGGCAGTCGTTGCCGCTGCGCAGCTGGATATGGTGGCGCACGTGGCGTGGCCTGTCGTTTGCATGTTTTGCGGTGGCAGCCCATAACCGCACGAATTGTGCATGGCCCTCAGCAATCCGTGTTCGATCGGCAACGCCCGTGCCGCTGCTCTGTCTCGTTAGAATAGGCAATGAAAAACGGCGCCCGCTCTCGTCGCATGTGCGCCGGTTGACATATCATGTATGTGGCTCTTTTATGGATAACAAGGAGTCTCGTTTTCAACTTTTTCTTCTTGTATATGAGCCCGCAGCCCGCGGCTTCCTCGCGCGTTTCGCGCTCCTTAACGGTCTCTCTCTCGCCAGCCCTCAACTGTTCAGTAGAATTTGCTGCAACTGGGCAGATTCATGTGGTATCATGCTGTCCTCATCAGGTGTCTGTGCCGCAGCGTAGGCGAGACTCTAATCTCTATGCCTCGGCACCCCATCGAGGCAGCTCGCGAGGTGAAGCTTGCCAGCAAGGGTATTGTTGCCTACACCAGCAGGCAAGGGAGCACTATGGTGTGAGCCTGCCAGCACAGGTGCGCAAGCCAGATCAGTACAGTCGTACCGGGCAGCAATGAAGCGCGTTGGGTGCCCGCGCCGGATGCAGTGCTAACGCGGCAAAGCTTGGGCCGCATCAGCAGATGCGTGAGGCGGTGCGGAAACCGTTGTTTCAAGGCTACCTGGTAGGCTCACTCCTTCCCATCCCAGAGGTAGAGGGCAAGGAAGGTAGTCGAGCAGGAGGGCGCCCAGGCCGGAGCCGGTGCCGCCGCCGATGGCGTTGAAGGCGAAGAAGCCCTGCAGGCCGGTGCAGTTGTCGGCCAGCTTGCGGATGCGATCGAGGACCAGGTCGACGATCTCCTTGCCGACGGTGTAGTGGCCACGGGCGTAGTTGTTGGCCGCGTCCTCCTTGCCCGAGATGAGCTGCTCCGGGTGATAGAGCTGGCGGTACGTGCCCGTGCGAACCTCGTCTGTTGGGGGAGAGGAGGCGGAGGGGCTTCTCAGCTCAAGCCGCGCGGGTATGTTTTTGCTCTGTTTCCGCATAGCTGCCATCTGAATCCGATTAGCGCGCATTGGCGGGGGAGGGGCGGGACGCGCCGATGACGGTCGGCTCGAGGTCGATGAAGACGGTGCGCGGCACGTGCTTGCCCGAGCCAGTCTCGGAGAAGAAGGTGTTGAACGCATCGTCGCCGCCTCCGATGGTCTTGTCGGAGGGCATCTGGCCGTCGGGCTGGATTCCGTGCTCGAGGCAGAAGAGCTGCGCATTGGGGGTGTGGGGCAAGTTTGAGGGTTTGTGTGTTGCCCCAACTCGAGTACGGATGGCGCTACCTCCCAGCAGGCGTTGCCGGTCTGGACGCCGGCCTGGCCGAGGTGGATGGTGATGCACTCGCGCTGCGACACGAGGGCGCGCAGACGTGAGCCGCGGCGCGCAGGGCTGTGGCATGGCGCGCGGCGCTGAGAGGCGCGTGAGGGGCAGGCGGCGTCGCCGCAGCACTGGGGGCGCGGCGATCGGGCTGGCGGGCGGGTGGGGCGCGCGCGGGCGCGGCTGCGGCGCGCGCCATGGTTGGTTGTGTGGTTGGGGCGAACGGCTTGAACGAAGGTGTAACGGCAGGGCCCCGCCACAAGCAGCCTGGTTCCGAGCCGCTACAAGAGTGCCCGAATTCACTGTGAAGAGGGTATCGCGGTTACGTCATACGTGCCCTTCTTTCGCCTTTTACTAAAGAAGGCCGTGGCGCAACTGCCTAACGACCTCTTTCACTATTTTGCTACCTAAATTTGTCCATGAACTCCTCAATCGTCATAATTTCCAGCGACCAAATACTAATGGGGGCTTCGTCGGGCTTTTTCTCAGGCGTGGCCGACCAGGATCTAACCTCTTCTACCGAACGCGGCGGCAAGACGTGTCACATACCCCTGCTCGTGGAACTGCGTGAGCGGTCCCCGCGAACCCAACACAACGCGCGTATAATTTGACGCGCACATACCTCGAGCCCATGGGCATGGCATGCGCCGGTCCCTGCAGTGCTGTGCATTGGACTCAATCCGCGTGGCGCACGCAATCAGGACGCAGCAGCCATGTGCAAGAGCCGGCACAGACGCGGTGGCGGTCCACCAAGTCTTGTTAGGTGCGCGCGACCAGAGATCTTATACGGGGAGAGGACCGTGAGTTGAGGAAATCAGGGACGCGACCCACTTCGCCACAGACGGTCCCGCGCCTCGCCGCTATGACGGGCACACGCCCCGCACCGTCCGCTGTGTGCCCGTCTTTGTCCGGAGTGAAAAGTCCAACGCGCTCGTCGGTGGCGGCTTCCCTCAACCTGCGCCGCGCTCGGCGAACCTCGACAGCGCTTTCGGTGGCATGCAGCTCTTTGCGACAGAAGCCTGGAGAGCAGCTCCTCTGCTGCTCACACACTCTGCACAGTTGACACAGCCTATTGTGCGGCTGCCACAGCTGTGACAGCGATGGGCTCGCCCTCACTGGCCCTCAGTCACTTGTGCTGCGGCTTGTGTGAGCGACACTGCTCGGCGACTGCCGGCACACTGTGAGACCATGGGTGTGAGGTTAAACCACGCTACCAGCGCTTGGTCACATCGGCCCCGAGGTCAGATCCTTCTACTCTGTTGATGACAAGACTTGTCTACTGGCTGGAGCCGAGCAGGAGGGCCCAGCGCACAACCCCTGGTCAACTCAGGGTCCTCTCCCTTTAGAATTTTACAACAAAACTCCCTCGCACAACACTGGGTACAGGACTGGGCACGGGACTGGCTCGCACTGGCACTAACACAGGTACTCCCTTTAGAAGTTAGAACCACTCCCTCCCCGCTGTGTCGTGTGTGTGTGGTGTGGCAGCTCGGCGCCGTGATGCGTGAAGCGTGAACGTTCCTCTTTCGTCTACACGCTGCCGTACATGTATGCACAGTCCACACACAGTGACACACCCTCCAATATATACCAAGCACAAAAACGCTCACCTCACCAAGGCGCGGGCTGCAATCCGTCGCCGTAGTTGGTGTGCACAAAGCTGCCCGTGTTGCTGAGCTCGAGAGCATCGATCGCCTCGACGATGCCTCGCACCGACGGCGTGACTGGCTTGGCGCCGACCTTCATCTTCTGCTCCGGCGACATGCCGCCGAAATGGGTCGCCACGAAGCCGGGCGAGATTGCGACCACGGCGATGCCTTGCGGTTTGAGGTCGTTGGCCAACGACTTGGACACCATGTTGACCGCGGCCTTGGATGTGCGGTACGCGTACATGCCGCCGCTGCTGTTGTCTGCGATCGAGCCTATCATCGACGAGATTACGACGAGCTTGCCTCCCGGCGCCGACAGCTGCGGCAGCAGCGCTTGCGTGACGCGCAGCACGCTCAGCGTGTTGAGCTCGAAGCCGCGGCGCATCGCGTCCATGCAGATGGTGTCGAGCTTCTGCTCGGCACGAGACGCAGCGAAGCCGCCCGCGTTGTGCACGATGCAGTCCAGCTTGACGCCTGCGAGCGCTGCCTTCAGCGTCTCGCCGACCGAGTCGCTGGTGACATCGACGCCCTGCACGAGGACGACATCTCCTGCCACCTGGCTGAGCTCATCGACGCCGCTGGCTGAGGCGGCGGGCGTGCGGCACGTGGCGTACACGCGGTCGCCTCGTGCGGCGAGCTGCCTCACAAGCTCGAGACCGAGGCCGGCAGAGCAGCCCGTGACGAGGTAGGTCTTCTTCGCCGGCTCCGCGCGCGGGAGGCTGAGCGCGGCGGAGGCGGCGGCGAGGCCGGCGCCGGCGCCGGCGAGCATCCAGCGACGCAGCATGTGTGGGCGGAGCGAAGACCTGCGGCTGTGCGGACACCCGCGGGATTTCTTTCTTTTGCACGCCCCGGCGGCGCGCCTCGGAGACGCGCAGCTTCTGGCGGATCCAGACGCGGCGGTCGCGGTTCAAAGGCGCCGTGATGATGCCAACCAGGAGCCGCAGCCGCGCCGGCGGCGAGCACACACTGCTCGGCGCCGCGATCAGGCCGTAGAGAGCAGTGTGTGCCGTAGAGAGAGAGATTTTTATTAACCAACAAGAAATCACGACTCTCACAGTGATTTGGGCTCGGCAGCTTGTTAGCCCTCAGCCGAAGCTGGGGCCGGTCCCGTAGCCGAGAGAGCCCGCGCCGATGAGTTCGACGCGGTCGGGGGGGCCTGCGGAGAGGCCAGCGAGATGGCGATCGCTGTACTTCATGGGGGTCATCAAGTGACCGCGACTGACAAGCCAGAGGTCGATACTCTGGACGACCCATAGGATGCCACGAATGCCTGAAGGAGAGGGAGGCGAGGCCCGAGGCAGGCTCAGCTGCTCTCGGGTGATCTCACTTTGGTGGCTGAAGGACCCGATGGTCCTGTCACATTCGCGTTCCGAGTCGTGGGGGTAGAAGAATTCGAGTAGAAATCGAGTCAGCACATCCTTGTAGTACAGCGGACCGCCAGGCTCGCCGGCAGCATCCGCAGGGAGGCAGCATATGAGGCACCAGTTTTCTGGAGAGCTCAACAGCTGCGGCCGCGATGGCGGAGTCGGCCGCGGTTCGCCGCCAGTGGCTGCTGCGAGCATCGGGGCGGCGCGCATAGCCAGTACAGGCCACCAGAGAAGAAGAAGAGCGCCGCACAGACGGCAACGCGCGAGCAGCGATCGGTCGTCATGCCAATGTCAACGTCTGAGCAGTCAGTCTACAGCACACACACACACATCGGCAAGGCTCGACCGGGCGCGCGTGTCAGCCAGAACTTTGCCAGTAGAGCGATCCTGGTCTTTCCGAAGACGAGCCCTGCGCCACAGGTGCCAGCCGTGCCTCCGCGGGAGCCGCCTCTCGAGCCGCGTCCCGCCGGCACTGTCCCTGAGTGCGTCCCGCCTTGGTTGGCGACACGCACTCGACGAGGGCAGTCCAGCCGACGGGAACGTGTCGCGCGCCGGCGACGAATGCGGCGGGGTGGGTGTGGGTACCGAGCGCCGCTTCGACGAAGCGAGGTTGGCAGGCGCCCCTCACGAGTCCGTTCAGACATGCCACACGCCCCTCGCAAGCGAGGTTGGTAGGCGCCCCTGGCGAGACCCGCAAGAGATGCCGCACCAGCCTCGTACCTATACTCCCCAATGTGAGATTCTCCCATCTCCACAATGAAAATCCCTGTGTGGTGGCGTGGCGGCGTCCCATCCTCCCATCCGGGCCGCGTCTCCTTTCTTTTTTCCACACGTGCAATCCGCGGTGCCCTGTATGTTTTCTTTCTTTTTTCCACAATTGCAATCCGCGGTGCCCCCCAAGAGCGCCTACATTGAAGTCATGGTGTCGGCGAAGGAGTGCTGCGATTTCCTCGTCCCGCGAAAGAAGGAGGTCACGTACACACTTGACATCGAAAATCCGGCCTGGGTCCCGCTGGGGGTCGGTGAGCAAGCGCCATAGAGGAGCGCGATTTGCCGAACAAAACCCACCCTGCGCCTGCTGCGCTCGCCGCTTCCGCAGGCGGCATCATGACCTACGTCTGGTATGGCCTCCTTTCGATCCCGTTTCTCGGCAACCTTCTCAGTTCGATCTACACCTTCATCCTCAGCGTTTTTGGGCTCAAACCGAAGGAGGCCGTTGGCTCGAGCCCGCCGCTCGACTACACGCTGCCGCTCTACTTTTTCCCCCTCTCCGACCAAGCCCTCCTCCTGGGATTCCTTCCTCTTGGATGGCTCTGGATCGGCCTCATCAAGATCAGCTTCGGCGCCTTTGAGCCTATCTACTCGCTCATCCTCGGCCTCTGGTTTGGCGCGTGACGCTCCCCTCGCCCCGCCCACCAGCGTATCCGCCCCTTCCCCCCGACACCATGAACCCTCCCCTACGGCGCCCCCTCTACTCGTCTGTCTTCTCTCTAACGCGTCAGGCCTAAGCAAGGAACAAGGGATGACCGAGGCAGAGGAGCTTGCGGTGGCCGCCGCGCAGGCCAAGGCCCCGCTCGTGTGAGCCGCCCCGGTGGCCTCCCACCCCGCGTGAGTAGTGCCGGGCCGCTATGACTGAATCCTCTGCATGGAGTATGTTTGAGTTGACGGCTGCGGGGACAAGAGAAGGCGCGTGACGAGCTGTGTGGAGAGGCGCCGACCGAGTCAGAGAGAGGTGAGAGGGACAGGGAGCGAGCGGCAGAGCGGGGGGGCAGTCAAGGCACAGAGCGGGGCCGCGCCAAGCGAAACGTGCCTCGTTTGACAGCGTTAGGATTCGACGAGGCGTGGGCGAGTGAGCGTTGATATGTTGAGATCTATCTGGGCATGTCAGTGCCTCCATAAATAAACGGACACCTAAATGAACAGGTCCCCGCTAGTCGCCGACCACACCCACAAAGAACCCTGCACAAAAAGACCGCAGGGCGGGGACCTGTTCCTTTTTACCCATCTCCTAGTAGAGGTGTCCGTTTTATTTATTTATTTACAGGTCCCCGCCCGTGCGATCTTTCGCTCTCCAAGCTGCATTCCCGCCTCGACGCCATATCCACCAAGTTCGCCAGGGCGAATGGGCGAGCGAGGACCGGCGCCCTCCCTGACAACGGCGTGTCGCTCGCTGATACGGCCGCGGAGCAGCTGGAGGCGGAGATGAAGGAGGCGCTCGCCCTCCACCACGCGCTAGTCAGGGAGGCGCTCACCAGCGTGGCGGGCGTTAACCGCTGCCAGCGCATCGCCGAGCGCATCACCGCGCTTGCCCACCTTCTGCTGAGCGCGCTGCTGCGGATCTTCCCTGATGTCACCGTCCTGTGCATGCTCGTTCGGCGTTCGCGCCCCTCCCTACCACCTCGCCATCCGATGGGCCCGCTGCGGGCGTGCACTCGGGCACTGGGTTATCTCTTTTTTTGTCTTTTTCGCTTCCTCGAGTCGACACACACATCAGGAAGTAACATGCGAGCCTGAGCAGGCTTGCTCCACCTCTAGCGATCTCGCCGGCCGGCGAGGCACGGACGAGACCGTGTGTGGGGTCTAGTGAGGTGTCTATGGACGCCCTCCTCACAGGCTAGCTGCCTACTGCTAGCCCTATCTCGCACTCACGGGTGTTTGTATGGTGCTGCTTCTCAAAGCCGCCATCTCTCTCTCGATCTCGCCGAAGCTCTGTGGACTGTGCTTCCGGGCAATGGCCGTGCTCGCGCTCCACTGCTCGCTCCTCGCCTTCTCTTCCCCGATCGTGGCGCCGCCGCTGCCGCAGCTCGCCTGCTCGCGCCTCCGAGCTCCTCTCTGCGGGCCGTTTGCCGCTCCGCCGGCCGCGCCGAGTCCACCGCGTGTCACCATCTTTTCGCTCGAGACTTGTGACCCTTGCAAGGTGACTCCCAACGCCGGCGCGGCCAAATCACACTGCTGTTGGTCGCGCTGCGGACATCACACCGCTCGGACCGCAGCCGCGCTCCCACTACCGCCACCGCCGCCGCCGGCAGGCCGCAAAACGGCTCTTCGAGATGCTTGGGTGGGAGTACACCGAGATCTCCGTCACGCACCATCCCGAGCGGCTCGACGATGTGCGGCAGCTGGTGCCTCCCGGCGTCACGTCGATGCCGCAGGTGCCCGTCGTTGCCTCACGCCCCCACCCCTTCCCTGCTCCGCGCTCTCCTCGAACCGTGAGCGCGTCTGCTCGCAGATTTTCTTTGGGGACCACCACGTCGGAGGCGGCTCCGACCTCGCCGCCCTGATCATGGCCAACGAGCACCTCGCCCTGTACGAGGCGGCCGCGCCCTTCCAGACCCCACCACCGCCCTCTCTCTCTCTCTCTCTCTCTCTCTCTCTCTCTCGTTCCATGCCCGCATTTCTGTTTTAGGCGGCCGCGCCGTCCACCGACCCACGGAAGCGGCCTGTTCGCCATGAGGAGTGGAGCCGCGGCGCCGTCGTGCCGACCGGAGGAGCCGAGGCGGCGGCGGCGGCGGCGGCGATCCCACAGGTGCCGGCCGCACGCTCTTGCAGCGCACACGCGGTGGGGAGAGAAGGGGGTTCACCGTACGAGAGAAAGTCGGCCCATATCTCGCCATATCTCGCCATATCTCGCGCCTTGTACGAGAGGAAGCCGGCCCATATCTCCCCATATCTCGCCATATCTCGCGCCTTGGGTGGATGGGCTGACATGCGCATGCACATGCACATGCACATGATGAAGGTCGACTGGCGTGCCTCTTACCGCTCGCTCTACTGCCCCCTAGGTGCCGACCGTGCATCCGGTGCCAGCGCTGGCGAGGGGGGTCGCCGGCCACTTCTTGTGAGCATGCGACGTGCGCTCCATGGAGCGTGCTGGGTGGACGGGCGCCGAGAACGCGGGAAGAGGGGGAGATCTGAGTCGAGGTGTGTTCGCGCGAGATATTGTGTGCAGCTCCATGATTCACATCAGGTACGTGTTTATAAGAAAGCGGCTTCAGGCGCGTCAAGCAAGCAGCGAACTGCGTGTGCCGTGCGTCCCGATAAAGTATGTATTGCTCGCCGGCGGCGGCGCAGCTCGACCCAGACGACACACAGCACACACAGAGACAGACAGCCATTTCGCGCGCGCCCGCGCCGTGCGGCGTGCGCGCGCGGTCCGTGTTCTTTCTGACCATGTTCGGCATCGGCATGAAGGAGCGCGACGCCGCCGAGGTCACGGTGCGCAACACCGATCTCGCCACCTTCACCGCCCTCGTCCGCTACCTCCTCACCGACCAGCTCGACCTCGGCGAGGAGGAGGGCGGCAGAGCGCAGCGCGCGCTCGACCTGCGGCAGCTGGCGCAGATGTACCAGGTGCCGCGCCTCGAGCTGCTCTGCGCGCAGGCGCTGCAGGAGAGCGTCGGGCCGGCGAGCGCCGTGCCGCTGCTCGAGGCGGCGCACACGATGGGCGACGGGCGGCTCCCCTCGCGCAGACAGCCATCGCGCGCGCGCGCGCGCGCGGCAGCTTCACCCCCCCGCTCTCTCTCTCTACGGTGTCGCTGCACTACGGCTTTATTTGCTTCTGCACTCTGGCGAGTGGCGTCTGTCGTCTGTGCGCTCTTCAGGTGACGACTCACACATCAGCCGAGGAGCGAGGACCGGCGGGGCCCGATCCCCATGTGCACCGCGCGCCGCCCGCCGCGGCAGCTGTGTGTGCGGTCTCAACAGAGTACCGCGCAGTGATACATATCGACAGCGGCGACCCAGCGACCCACGCCGCCTCGCCGCGCGCCCGCTACCTGATCACTCACGAGGGCGGCGAGATCCTTGCCCGGTCTGCGATGCAGGGCGGTGGTCGTGCCATCGGCGCTTCGTACATACAACGACCCCGCCGCAACCGTCGCCGGCGCGCGACACGTTCCCGTAGGCCGGACTGTCCTCGCCGAGTGTGTGCCGCCAAGGCGGGACGCACTCAGGGACAGTGCCGACGGGACGCGGCTCGAGGGGCGACTCTCGCGGAGGCACGGCTGGCAACCGTGGCGCGAGGCTCGCCTTCGGAAAGACCAGGATAGCTCTACTGGCAAACTTCTAGCTGACACGCGCGCCCCGTCGAGCTGACGGCGGGCGCGCTGCGGTCGCACGCCCCCCCAAGTCATGGCGTGCGATCTAGATTCAGCCCACGCGCCTCTGCTCGCCAACACTCACCCATTGAATTGTCACTGCCCGTGAGTGCGAGATAGGGCTAGCAGCTGGCCGCTAGCCTCTGAGGAGGGCGTCCATAGACACCTCCCTAGACCCCAAACACGGTCTCGTCCATGCCTTGCGGCTGGCGGCGAGATTGCTAGAGGCGGAGCAAGCCTGCTCTAGCCTCGCATGTTACTTCCTGTTCGTCTGTTGTGTTGTTGTGCCCTTGTTTGTTCCTTTGGCACCTTGGAGTGCTGGGGGGGGCGACAGGGGGGACGTGGCCTTGAGTTATGTGTACAGTACGCCAACTCAGGGTGTGTGGCAGCCAGCTGGCTGTGTGTCTTGTGAGCTTGTTTGTGTCTGTGTGTTGCTCGTGCGTGTCGTCATCATCTGTCCCGCGTCCACCCATACCGCGCTGGTGTCCAGTCCGAGCCTGACTGTTCTTCACCTTTCTACCTAACCTAACTTATGTGGTGAGTCGGCCGCTACATAAAGCCTTGTTATTGAGAGGAAAATACGTCGTATGGCGCTGTGCGCTGGTCTGTGAGAGGTTGAGGTGCGAGCCCTGGAGGCCCTGGGGATGGAGGGAGACTACCCGCGGGCCTAGAAGGCCCGCGCGCAGGGGGGTGGGACGTTGAGACCGGTCGTGAATGAATGAATGAGTGCGTGACATGCATGTTGCGAGCAGCGTTGTTGATGTTTTGCGCATCGCCACAGACGGCGGCGCGAGAGAGCTGTTGCGAGTGGTGCTGGGCGAAGCCCCGCGGGCGCTGCCGGAGGCTGTGCCGTAGTCGGTGCGGTCGACGGCGCTCGGGTTGCCGACCTCTTTGGCGAAGTTGAAGATGATTCTCTTGGTTGGCGGCGGCGCGGATGCCGCCCTGGCTTTCGAGATTTTGACGATTCCGTTCTTGACAAAAGAGGGAGCAGAAAAGGCGGCAAAGGACTCGAAAATCTGGAAAAAAGAATTTTAGCACGCCAAAAAAAGAATTTCGAAAAACGAGTCGCGCCGGACAGATCTCGAGCAAATGGAGCGAGAGGCAGCGTAGCCGACGACAAGTGAGTCCAGGCTAACTACATGTGAACGACACTGGACTTGCGCTCAAGCAAGGGGTCGCCATCATCGTCGGCGACGGCGACGCTCGAAAGCTCAGCGGACTTGGCGGGGCAGCAGAGTAGCGGGAGGACGAGCACCGCCGCAGAAAGCCACGCGTCGACGGCGAGGTACCAACCGCCCACCTGATGAAACACACTGGTCTCCTTATTCAACCCCCACGGTCGGTCTGGCTACACAACACTCCAACTGCCCGCCTCGTGCGCGTGTATGGCGTCAGTGTCTTCGCCCAGCCACAAGTGGTGCACGCCTACCAAGTGACTTGATCCTCGATCACGCCCTCATCATCCATTGGTGAAATCGCCCACAGCCACAGTGTGGAGCAGACCCCGCTTGCCCTTGAACACGTACATGAAGGCCGCCATGTGCACGGCCCACACGCCGGCGAAGAGCCACCAAAAGGCGTGCAGCCCGCGCACGAGCGTGCAGAGCGGCGACTCCCGCGGCAAGGCCTAGCGTGTTGAGGTTCCCTCCCCTCATTCTCAGTCCAGTGCAGATAGCGGCGACTCGCGAGGCACACTCTGCAGACCGCGTGCACCGCCGATGAGGCGAGCATCATCACCGAGATCGCGCCCAGCTGCACGCCAAAGACCTGTCCGGCGGGGGTGACGTAGGGTAACAAGGTCAGCTTCTCCACGCACACACACAGTGGTGGCGCATAAGGGCAGGCAGTCCTCGCAACTCCACACACCCATACACGGCACACAAAGTGCGGCAGGCGTGTGGAACGAGGCCGGGCCCCTCCTCCCTCCAGTACCAAGAAAACGAGGGGCGCCTGGTGGAAGAGCATGCCAATCGGCTGCATGTCGTGCAGGTGCGTATAGAGCAGCGTGCCCAGCGCCGCGAGCACCGCTGGGTCGTGTAGTTGCCGCGCCGCCGCAACGCGAGGCAGTGCGCCGTTGCACGCGCGGGCGGTGATCGGGTGCGCCGCCATCGAGGCGAAGAGGAGCGAGGCGAGCGCCCAGATGGTCGCGTGCACCTTGTTGTAAAAGGTGTGGAGCGGCAGCCGGAAGATGACGTACGAGAACATCGCCAGCGTCGCAATCAGTCCGAGGCTCGCGTGCTGCACGCGGATGACCAGCGCGCCGCCGTCGCCGTGCAGAATGTAGTGCGACGCGCGGCATAGCCCAACTCCGGCCGCAATATGCCCCCAGTAGGAAGTGTCCACGTGCAGGCGCGACACTTGGTGCACGATTGATGCAAGGAGCAGCACGAGCGCGACCGTCATGCAGCCGCGCCTCGCGAAGAGGATGACAGGCAGCAGAATCGCCGACACCAGCAACACGTAGGTCGCACGGTACGCCTCGGACGAATCCTCGGTGAGCGACCAGTTGCCAAACTCCATACCTCCAGGACGAAGGTCAGCTTTGGGGAAGGGAGAGGCTTCACGCGAGCGCTGTTCATAGCTTGTTTTGAGAATTCCAAATATTGAGCAGAGTGAACTCGGTCTCCTCGCCCGGCCCGCCGCCCTTGTGGCTGGTGTCGACGTGCAGCCCGAACGAGTGGCCGCGGCGGTAGCGGTAGAACTTGAGCAGCGACGCGCCGCCCGCGCCGTGCACGTCTCCGTGCAGCCCGAGCGACCGGCGAACGGCCGTCGAGGGGAGGCAGGAGCGGGAGGAGCCGGCGCCACAGCCGCGCGGCGAGCGGCTGGTCCACCAGCGCGAGCGTCTCGCGGCACAGGAAGGCCTCGCCCTTCTTCGGCCGCAGGTCGTCTGGCCGCGGAGGCTGCAGCCCGATCGAGCTCGCCGCCGTCACAAGGGCCCAGCACTCGTCGGGCGACAGGAAGTGGTCGACCGCGACGATGAGGCCGCGCTGGTCCGGGACGAGGTCGCGCGCCACGCGCTCCTCCCACGCGCCGTCGTCGAGCAGGCTGTGCTGCAGGCTGTGGCCGGGCGGCGCGACCTGCGCCGGCCTCGGCATACTCGGGCAGAGGCAGGAGCTTGACACGTGCCTGGGCGTGCAGCCTGAGGAGCGCGCCGCCCGAGGGCGCGGCGTGGTGATAAGAAAAAAGAGATTTGTTGCTGCTGAAGGACGGCACCCCAAGGGTGCGCACGAGTGGGTGTGCGAGCAATATCGAAAGACGGTGAGGCCGGGATCGCACACGGCAGGGGTGGCGGGACGGTTGTGGAGCGAAGTGGCGGTAGCCAGCCTCAAGCATCGATGGGATAATAAGATGAGATTATCAGACGAGAATGGGGGGAAGGACAGGCGGGCGACATTTGACGACGTCGGGGATCACAATGTGACGACCAAAACGATCTTGGGGGCCAGGGTGAGACAACAGGTCGGGGTGCCACATGGGGCACACCACAAGCGTATTCTAGAGGGGGAAAAGAAACGGGGAATGAGGGGACCCGCCACGAGAAGTGCGTTCTGGGGATGCAGAGCGTGCAAAGCAGCTAGGGATGAGGCCACAAAAGAGGCGCGCGAGGCAAGGAGGAGACGCGGAGAACTGAGAGACTGGGACGACTGGAAACAAGAAGACAGTGAGCCACCACAGGCGTCGTTGGCGCACATACTGAGCGGCAGCTGCGCTGGAAATAAGGAAGAGGCGCGCCACTTCATGCGGAAGCTCGACAAACACACAGCGAGGGCGACAGCAAGAGTCGAACGGGAGGCGCCGGACTCAAAAGACACCGCCACATTCCTGAGACGAGCGAGGGCAGCCTCCTTAAAGGCGAAAGGGTCTAGATTTGGAGCGCTCGCCGACGAGGAGTACGACAAAATAGCGCCCGTGATTGCCTGCACGCTGCCCGCACTCACGGACTCCATACCCGAAAGAAAGAGAGGGGAGCTCGCGGGAGAGGTGACGAGTGAACTACAGGTAGTGGGGAAGGCAGCCTCGATGGCCATACAGACATGGATGCGAAACAACGACAAGACCAAGGCACGGGCAGAGGAACGAGAGAAGAATATATGGTGGATAAAGCGCCTGTTCACGGCATGGAGGGTGAGCCACACCGAACGTACCAAGCGAAGAGCCGAGCGGAAGGAAGCCGGGGAAGACGTAGACGACTCCGAGGAGGACGAACCAGTGGAAATCCAGTTGTCAGCCGTCACGATGCACCCGAAGGGGACCCCAGCGCCGGCATCATCCGTGGAGGCACAAGTGTTCGAAGAGAGAGTGGACCTGAGCAACGATATGACTGGGCGGCAAATGATAGCAGTGGGCGTCAGAAGACTCGTCCTTGCTCGAGGAGAGCTCGATAGACTCGAGGGGCCAGGATATGCAGCAAGGAGGGCAGAGCTGCGCCGAGCAGCGAGAGCAAGGGAGCGGCAGGCGGCGGCGCCGTCGCAGGACGAGGCAGAGGAGAGCGACGCGACAGAGGAAGAAGCGACAAGGGAGAGAACGACGAGAGTGGGACGACCGCGAGGTGGCATGAAGGTTGCAGCGAGAAGCGGCGAGAGACTGCGAAAAGAGATAGGAAGAGGCAGACTCCCTAGGGTGGGCGACGGCTAGCGCACCACACCCCTCTCCTTAAAATCCCTGTGTGGTGGCGGCGTGCCGTCCTCCCATCCCTCCCTTGGGTTGTCCGTTTTCTTTCTTTCTTTCCCCAAGGGTGTCAAGGCAGGACTGCAAAAGCAAAAAGTGGTGTGAGCGCACAACTACTACTATAGCAGATGCACCTGCCCATGGGGGGTAAGGGACGTAAGTGAATCAAAGCCTCGGGATACACTGCCAAACCCACGTGAGAGCCAAACGCGCTCGCGTCCCGAGCGAGAATGAGGGCGCCGCAACGTGCTCAAGCGCGCCGCCGAGAGGCGGTCTGAGTGACGTGCACGTGGCAAACACGCGCGTGCAATCTGTGCTTCCCTCCTCCCTACTGCGTCTCGCGCGTGACCGCGAAGCGCAGCACGCACGCGCTGAAGTCGCGCGCCGCGATGCCGTTCGTGTTTCCTGCCGAGTCGAGATGCTGCCGCTCGTGGATCTCGTAGAGCGAGAGGACGAGGAGCGCCGCCCGCGCGCGCGCCGCCGCGGGGAAGAGCGAGTGGCTTGCCGGCGACCACGGCGCCGCCGCCCGCCGGATCAGCGCCGCCGCCCCGCCCTCGCCGCCCGCGGCGCGCTGCAGCGGCGTCGGCTCGCCCTCGTGCAAGCTTGCGCCGCTGCGCAGCAGGGAGAGCGCGCGGGCGGCGGTGAGGGTCTCAAGGTGCGCGAGCGGCGTCCAGCCGCGGCTGGCGACCAGCCAGGCGGCGAGGTCGGCGTGGCCTTCGCTGTTTGCAACCTCCTCGGGCGTGCCGACGGGCGGCACGGCGGCGCGGGAGGCGCCGTAGGAGGAGAGGAGCTTGGCGACCTCGAGGTGGCCGTTGTGGCACGCCATGAGCAGCGGCGTGACGCCGTTGTTGCGGGCTTGGTCGACCGCCGCGCCGGCCTCGAGAAGCAGCCGGGCGATGTCGAGGCGGCCCTCCTGGCACGCGACGAGCAGCGGCGTGGAGCCGCCATTCATCGCTTGGTTGACCGCCGCGCCAGCCTCGAGAAGCAGCCGAACGCACTCGACGTGGCCCTGCAGGCACGCAACGAGCAGCGGCGTGACGCCTTGCTCGTCGGCTTGGTCGATCGCCGCGCTGGCCTCGAGGAGCAGCCGGGCGCACTCGAGGCGGCCCTGAGAGCACGCGGCGAGCAGCGGCGTGCGGCCGCCAGACGCGGCTTGGTTGGCCGCCGCGCTGGCCTCGAGGAGCAGCCGGGCGCACTCGGCGTCGCCCATCCGGCACGCCATTATCAGCGGCGTGACGCCATCGTCATGGGCTTGGTTGACCGAAGCGCCGGCGTCGCGCAGCAGTCGAACGATATCGAGGTGGCCCTGGATGCACGCCATGAGCAGCGGCGTGAAGCCGTCCTCCGTGGCCTGGTTGACCGAAGCGCCGGCGTCGCGCAGCAGCCGGGCGATATCGAGGTGGCCCATCTGGCACGCCATGATCAGCGGCGTGGTGCCGTTGTCGGCGGCTTGGTTGACCGCCGCGCTGGCCTCGAGGAGCAGCCGGACGATCTCGAGGTGGCCCTCCTGGCACGCGATGAACAGCGCCGACGCGCCGCCGCTGCTACCACCGTCGCCGCCCGTCGTCGCCCCGACGCTCGCGCCAGCTTCAAGCAGCAGCCGCACCGCCTCGGCCTGCCCGTGACGAGCGGCCCAGGTGAGCAGCGTGTCCTGCTTCTCGGTGTCGTGCCGCGCGTCGAGACTGCCGCGCGTCCGCCGGCCGGAGAGGAAAGCGCGCAGCGAGGCGATGTCGGCGGCGGCGATGTCGGCGAGCAGCGTGGCGGGCGGGCTCGCGGCGGGCGCCATCACTGAGTCGAGACGCGGCGGCTACGTCAGAGAGGGCGGTGTGTCGCACGGCGCCCGCCAGCGGACGGCTCTCTCGCGGTGGCGCCGATGCCTCGCGCTTGGGCGGCGTCCTTGGGCTGCCCACGCGCCGACGACGACGCTGGCGCAGCCGCTGAGGTCTGGGGCGGGGCCTCGAGAGCGCGTCGGAGGAACCCTACTGACCGCCGCGCGAAAAAAGAAGCCAGAGAATTGTGGGCCCCAGTGTCGTGCAAAAAAGACAAGAAGCATGGATCAGGAATGTATTCCAAAAAGAAATCGCGGTGGGCAAAATCCACACGACAGAATGTACCCAGCTACCCCTTACTCCGTCTCGCGCGTGATCGCGAAGCGCAGCACGCACGCGCTGAAGTCGCGCGCCGCGATGCCGTTCGTGTTCAGTTCGTGTTTCCTGCCGAGTCGAGATGGTGCCGCTCGTGGATCTCGTAGAGCGAGAGGACGAGGAGCGCCGCCCGTGTGCGCGCCGCCGCGGGGAAGAGCGAGTGGCTTGCCGGCGACCAGGAGTGTTTTGGAAAGCGGAAAAAAGTAATCGTGCCGGCGGTGATGAAGATATGAAAGTTCGCAGAACGTGTTGTCTCCATCAAACCCTGCAAACCCTGCACCCCTTGGCCATGCACATGAGTCGCCTCGCTCTCCTCGCCATCCCGGCAGTCGTGGCCTTCTCGTCCACTCCGGAGTCAATGGTCACGGTCAAGGGAATCACCACGGATTGCGACGGTGCAAAGAGCGCAGCCCAGCCCGCGCCTCGGGTTGTCGTCTTCGCCTTCACATCTGTTGTACCCCGCGTCCCGCAGCCAGTGCTTCAACCTTCACCCCTCCAACCCTCAGGCAGCCAGTGCTTCAACCGTCTTCACCCCTCCATCCCGATGGCGGCGATGGCCGAGCCCGACCAGGTTATCCTGTTCGACACGCCACAGGCGCGCGCATCGCACTCTGATCGCCAGCTTCGCCGTTGCCGCCGCCTCCACTCGAAGCTGATCGCCACCCCCTGACCACAGGCCACCTCCGACTACAAGAACACCTCCTGCACCTCATGCAACTTCGACTTTGAAAGGAACACCAAGCACATTCGCACGCTGCACCAGCTCGCGGGCCCAGTCGGCATCGCAGGTGCCGTCGCGGGCGACAAGATTGCCATCACGATCCTCGACATCGAAGCCAAGACGCAGGGGTGGAACCACGCCGCTCCCAACCTTGGCATGCTGTCCGACATGGTCACGGCGGGCACTTTCAACTGGTGGATGCCCAAGGGGCCCAACCCGGCCAAGCCTGATTGCTGGGTGAGCGAGCTGTTTCCCGACGTCGAGATCCCGTACAACCCCTTCCCCGGCATTGTCACCGTGCTACCCAACATGGAGATCGTACAGCGCGTGAAGGCACGCCTAAACTCCACCCCCTCTCCCGCGCGCACGAGTTCCTCTGTCAGAAGGTGCATGTTGTACTGTCCGCAGGAGCGCGAGATCACCGTCCTCGAGGCGGGCGGCACGGCGCAACCTGCCGGCTCGGGCACAATGGGTCTGACCGGCGACATGCCCTCGGAGCGACAGTCGCGATCTTCATCGAGACCCACCTTCCACATGCGCAGAGCTCCAAGTATGTGTGTTAGGCCTTTCCGTCGAGCGTGTGCGGCGAGGGCGGGTCCGACCCCGAGAACTGCCTGCGGACCATCGCTCCCGATGTCTATTACGGGAACGAAGACTCGCAGGCTTGCGCCTTGGCCCATGCAACCTTGTTAGCCTCGTCACCTCTAGCCCCAGCCTCGACCCCTCTCGTGCGTGCGCGCGCAGCGCATCACCGTTGGCAACACCCTCGTCATCGAGTGTTTCGTTGACGGCTGCGGCATCGGCATCGGTGATGTGCACGGCGCACAGGGCGATGGCGAGGTCTCGATCACCGCCATCGAGATGGAGGCCCTCGTCAAGGTGTGATCCGCCACGTCTCGCGGCCTCGATCTCTTTTTGCCAATCTAAACATACGCTCCCCACCAATCGCGCGCCTCCTGATGCCGCCGCGCACCGCAGGTCAAGGTCAAGCTCATCAAGCCGGACGACCCGATGTATCATCTGCCCTCTCCGACGACTCTCGGCGCGTCGCTCAACCCGCTGCACTCGTCGCCGTTCGTCTCGTTCCACGGCTTCGGCGACAAGCCGGAACCCATCCCCGATTTTGCCGGCGAGGCCAACTTTCCGTGGCCGATCCAGCAGCACATCACCTTTGGGGAGGTCATGAACAACATGACCTTTGTCGCTGACAACCTGCAGGTTCTCCCATGTCCACTCCCTCCGACAACGCCGCACCTATATCATTTCGCCTCTCCATGTCTCACGCACTCCCACGGCCCTTGCGCAGATGAGCGGGCGCAACGCACTGATCAAGTGCATCAAGTTCCTGCACGACGTCCTTGACTACTCGTTTAACCAGGGCCTCATCCTCGCGTCGGTCGCCGTCGACTTGCGCGTCGCCCAAGTCGTTGACAAGCCGCAGGCTTCGATGGAGGCCTACCTGCCGCTCGACATCTTCACGGGCGAGGCGAAAGCCAAGATGATGGCTGCCGTTGGCATGTAGCCACACATAAGAGAGCCGTCACAACGCTGCCTCGAAAGGGGAGCAACGGTGTGTCTATTTTGTATCTTGCCGTGCTTCTGGCCCTGGATGCCTGTGCGCTTACTCTCCTCTACGGATTGTGTCTTTTGACCGTGTTGGATTGTGCGCACATTATCTGCCCTGTTTACACTTGAGTATCCTGTGGCTCGCGGTGTAGCGCTGTACTTTTGTCACTCTGACGCTGTAGAGTACCTATCTCCGCCCCCCAGCGCCGTGTCAGTGTCAGGGCGGGCCGGCAGACAGAGATCAGACTAGAGTACTAGTACTACGGAGGTACCTCTAGTAACTAGAGTTCGCGTCGGCCCACTCGCTTGCTTTTTTTTATTTCGCTCCAGTTGATCTTACAGACAGTAAGTAGACACCGGAGGGCTATCGAAGCCTTTCCAACGTCCAGGGAGCTGGCGTGGGCCATGGCGTGGGCCCCCCGGGGGTCCCGCGCAGCCACCGCGTGTCGCGTCCCACCGCCCGGCCACTGGTGCGCTGGGACTGGGGGCACCACACACACACACACACACACACACACACACACACACACACACACACACACACACACCAGTGCGGCACGCAGGCATACAGACACACAGACACGCAGACCAGACAGACACACAGACACACACGCAAACATTCAAAGTGCAGCACCGGTCCAGTGGGTGGGTGAGTCTCGGTGAGCATGAACCTGCACCTCACTTTCTTTCTTTCTCCCTCCCTCCCAGGCAGGCACAACCCGCACACACAAACAACCCCCACAGCGTCAAACAATGCCGGAGTTCGACCCTAAAAGCTCAGCGCCGGGCGCCTCGGGATATAAATCTGCTCTGGGCCGATATTCACAGCTCACAGCGCCGCCTTTGTAGGAGCCTTGTGCAAACTTATGTAGATCTTCGATTCTCGAGCATCCAGGACGACCAAGGGCGTGTGCAACCCAACCGATCGCGCTCCCTTTGATCCTACCATATCTGGTCCTTCCCCATGAAACGAGCATCGTGGCCGCCTCAGCCGCCGCGTGGCGTGCAGCGTGGAGTCAGCGTCGCCAACGCACTCAGCGGCTGTCAATCAGTCTTCCGCCGCAACCCAAAGAAGAAGCCGTCGTCGCTCGTCGGAGTAGTAGTCAGGCGGATGGTCGAATCCGCGAGCACCGTGGTGCTTAGACGACAGGAGCCCCACGGCATTAAAAGTGCAAGTCCCAGTGCGTGTGGGTGCGTGCGTGCGTGCGTGTGTGCGTGGCGTGCGCGGTAGTGTGTGTGTGTGTGTGTGTGTGTGTGTGTGAAGTGTGTGTGTGTGTGTGTGTGTGTGTGTGTGTGTGTGTGTGTGTGTGTGTGTGTGTGTGTGTGTGTGTGTGTGTGTGTGTGTGTGTGGACGTACACGGGAAAAGGTACTTTTTCTGCATCACGTTCGCCGCCTTCCGTTGGATCTCGCGGATCCCCTTCCCGAACCCGAAATGTATGTAGGAAGGTGAAGAACAGTCAGGCTCGGACTTGACACCATCTTCCTTGTCATCCATGGGAAAAGAATTCTTCTAATACAAGCCCCTCTCACAGCAGACTGGCACGAACTAGCACCACAAAAGGCACAGCAGACAACGGCCCCTTATGGGCCGTCGAAGAGGCCGTCAAACTCCTCGGGAAAAGAAATCCGTTCCCGCCGGGTTTGAACTGTGGCGTTCCGTCCTCTCTGTGTGGTGGCTGCCTTGCTGCCTCCCGCTGCCGCTGTGCCGCATGGCGCTTCCGTTGCCGCCTGCGTACCCGCCGCCGTTCGCGCCGCCGCCATACTCGCCACCGCCCTCTCCGCTCTCGCCTTTGCCGCTGGCGCCGCCGATGCCGTCCCTGCCGCCTCCCACGATTCCACCGTCCCTGCCGCCTCCGCCACCGCCGCCCACGCCCACCTCGCCCTCGCCGCCGCCTCCTTCCGCCTCGCCGTCGCCGCCGCCTTTGATCAAGGCGCAGATCGGCCCGGAGCCGGACGCCGTCCAGCTGCTTGGCCACCGCATCCCCGTCGCCTCCCTCGCCGCCGGCGCGCTGGGCGGTCTGGTAGCCGGCCTCGTGCTGCTGCTATTTGGCTGCGCCTGCGCCTGCCTCGCTCTTCGGCGCGGCCCCCGCGACGAGCTCGAGGAGGAGCCACCCGCCAGATCTTCCTCGTACCGAAGGTCGACAGTCCGCCACCTCGGCATCGATGTGCAGGGCGAGCCGCGAGCGGCGCAGCCGGGCATGGCGGGCTGGGAGCCGCGTGGGCGTCTGGCTCCGGGCATCGGCTCTCCCCCCCGCCCTCCCCCCCGCCTCAAGCACGCAGAGTCCGCACCTCTCGTCGGCTGGACCGTGTCTGGCCCAGTCATCGGCTCGCGCGCCGCCATGTCGCTCGAGGAGCGCTTCCCGGCGCCGTTGCGGCCGTTCCACCCCGGCACGCCCCCTCGGACAGCGGGTCTCTCTCTCTCTCTCTGAGTACTGAGTAATCAGTGACCAGCAATCAATAATAGGCAAGCCCATCGGCCAGCGGGGCTTGCCACCAGTCGGGGAGGGGCCGGCAGGGCTCGGGGTTGCCGCCTCGCCGCCGCAGGCGCTCCCTCCTCCCTCTCTTGCTGCTATCCCTCGCTCCCTCCCCCCCCCCCATCCCTTCCTGCTCGGTCACCCCTCTCCCTCCTCTGCTCTAAAAACACCCTCCTCTCTCCCTCGCCCTCTCCCTGCCTCGCACACCTCCGACGCTCTGCGGCTCGCAGGCAGCCCAGCGGCGCTGGCTCAGGGCGAGCATGGGCGGCAGCCCGCCTCGGCCGCCGCTCACCTCCGCGGAGGACCGCGCCGCCGCGCTGTTCTCTCTGAGCGCCGCGAAGCACAGGGCGGCGCCGGCAGCAGCAGCACAGCCGACACAGATGCATGACCAGGCCGCGGACACCGCCGCGAGCACGGGGAAGCGGCGCCGCTGAGCAGGCCGCAATACGCCGCGGTTGTCGGTGTTGTTGGATGGAGGCGATGGTGGCGGTGGCGGTGGCGGTGACGTGCACCTCTGCACCATTGTGCGCCCGGGGGGTCAGAGCGGATGCGTTGTAGGCCAGGGAGTACGGCCAGGGAGTACGGCCAGGGGAGTATGGCCAGGGGAGTATGGCCAGGGAGTATGGCCAGGGGTCTACGGCCAAGGGGGTACGGCCAGGGAGTACGGCGGAGTACGGCCTGGGGGGTACGGCCAGCGAGTACGGCCAGGGGAGTACGGCCAGGGGCTCTGGGCATGGGCATGGGCATGGGCATGGGCATGGGCATGGGCATGGGCATGGGCATGGGCATGTTAGTTCCTCCAGACTTGAAAGATAGATAGAAAGATAGAAAGTCGCCGTCCCCCACCCTCCCGATTGTGAATCCGGATCGGTCGCTTTCGCGCCCTATTCCCCGCACGACCCGACCCGAAGCCTATCCATCCATGAGCTCTCCCATCCCCACAGCCACTCGCCTGCGCGACAACGCGGCGCGCATGGCAGCGGACAGAGACCAGCGCCGCACCGCAGAGGAGCTTGAGCTCCTGAATGCCGACAGCGTCGACTTTCCCCAAAACATGAATCGGACGGCGATAGACGACCTTTGGGACAAGACTCCAATGTTTGACGAGGACGCGGAGATGCCATTCTTTGTGGACGAGGCGGCGGTGATCAAGCGGGTGGCGATCAAGCGGAAGACGGTGACGCCAAGGCCAGCGGTCGGCGCGGTCCCCGCGCCGCAGGCAGCGCCGCCGATCGGCATACAGAAAGCAGCGATGACACGCTCGCAGGTCTGGGGCGGCGTGATGGCGTCGTGGTCGCTGGTCTCGCCGCAGTTTCTGGTGGTAGCATTTGCCTTCTCCGCCGGCTGGATCGACGCGAACTCCAAGACGCGCTTCGGCACCTTTGGCTCGCTCATGACGGGCAATGTGATTGACATGTCGATGGCCATTGCGCGGGTGCGCAGCCTCGCTGCTCGCAGCCTCGCTGCTGGACTCCCCGCGGCGGCCTTTCGCCTCCTCGCCTCCTCGCATCTGTGCCTCTCGCCTCACCTCTGCCTCTTGCTCCCCCGCCTCAGCTCGACTGGAAGCATGCCTTCCTGTCTGGGTTCAACATCTTCGCCTTTCAGGTTGGCGTGGTCGCGGACCTGATCATCGCCAACCTCGCCGCTGCCAGGAGGCGCGTGCAGCAGCTCGGCGTCAGCTCACCCGCGCCAATGCAGGACGTGGGGCTTCTGCAGCCGGAGGACTTTCAGTCGCACATGGGGCGGGGTGAGCGGCGTCCCCTGCTCGCAGCTAGCGCACCAATGAGACAGCGAGCCCGCACCACCCCCTAGCTTGCGCGAATCGCTAGTACTGGGCGTGGCGTTGAGGAAGCGTGGAGGGCCTGGCTGCCCCTCCCATGTCCCACGGCGCCGGGTGGTCTCTGCGAGACCGCCACCCCCCTGCTCCGGGGCCCCGTGCGAGCGGTACTCGCGCCGTGCATGGGCCACCACCTGGTGGCCAGCCCAGCGCCCCGCGCCACCCCTGCGCACAGGCTACTCGACCATCGTCATCTGCGGCTTCCTCGTCTGGCTCGTCTTCCTAGAAGCAGAATACGTGTTCATGTATCCCAACCAGCACTCGAGAGACACGCATTCCGCTGTATTCCGCTGTATTCCGCTGTGTTCACTGTCATCCTCTCCGTTGTGTCCATGCGGTGCTCTCAATACGCTGCACCATACCGCCTTCCCGCCCTCATGTTGGCGTACTCAGCACGTAGGCTCGAGCTGATCGCCCTCTTCGAGAACCGCGAGTACCCCTCCACCGATCGGCGCATCCTCGGCGCCTTTTGCGCCGCTGCGATGGGCGCGCAAAACGCGTGGACCACCCGCTCCTCCCTCAAGACCTCCACCGTCATCGTCGGCACCAACCTGCAGAAGATCGCCGAGATCCTGTACCTGCGCGTGCGGCGGAAGCTGGAGGGCTGCTGCTCGAGCTCCGTCCCCGAGCTGGGCAGGTGGGAGATATGGGGAGATATGGGGAGATATGGGGAGATATGGGAGGCTGCTTGAGCTCCGTCCCCGAGCTGGGCAGGCGGTTCCCGTCGATCAACAACTTTCTCCCCGAGAGGCAGGACACGGGGGAGAGGAAGGCGCCCCTGCTGCGCAGCCTGCCCTCCATCGTCAGAGAGGTGTGCCGCCCCACTCCCCTCCCGCGGCCCAAGGCGGACGCAGGGCAACCCCCCCCCCCCACCCTCTCACCCTTGAGCCAGGCGGTCGCCAAGCACACCGACGTGCGGAACCAAGAGTCCGCCCTGCTCACTCGCCTCGCCTTTTGCTGCGTCGCGTACGCCGTGGGCGCCGTCGGCGGCGCCGAGGCGGCGCGCGTGTGCTGCATAGGTAGTGAAGCCACCGCCGACGAAGCGGCGTCCTCACGATGTCGATGACCGCTATATCTACTGCATAGGGTCGCTCCTGCCGGCGGCGCTGCTCATCGGACTCGCGCTACAGCCGTGGAGATGACGAGAGCGATGGAGGGCCCGCCAAAAGCGGGGCACTGTGATACGCCGCGCACAGGGGAAGGCAAGCATTCGCTGCAGCCCTCCCGTTGAGGGTGGGGGTGGTCCGTCGGCGATACACATACATGCCGCCAGGATGCCGGAATGAAAAGGTAAAAGGAGCTCCATATGGAGCTCGCAGTTCCCCGCGCACGCAGGCACTCACTTTCAGGTGCACGAGGCAGTCCGGTCTCCTCTCGTCCGAGACTCCTCTCTCCTGGGCCAGAGTCTCCAGTGTACCAGAGCCAGACCCCTGGAATATGTGTGTCGTGGCATTTTGTTACAATCTCCCCCATCGCCCTCCCTTGGGGGGTTGTTCCCCCCCCCCCCCCCCCCCGCCCGCCGCGAAAACATGCGCACTCTCCCAATCCAAACAGCGGTTCCGGACCCAAGACAGCAAGCAGCACGAGCCACGACCATGGTCGGAGCCGAGGCAAAGACTCTCACCGCGGCTCCGGCCTACTCCGTCTCGCGCGTGATGGCGAAGCCCAAGACGCAGTGGCCAAAGTCGAGCGCCGCGATGCCGTTCGTGGCTCCTGCCGAGTCGAGGTGGTACCGCTCGTGGATCTCGTAGATCGAGAGGACGAGGAGCGCCGCCCGCGCGCGAGCCGCCGCGGGGAAGAGCGAGTGGCTTGCCGGCGACCACGGCGACGCCGCCCGCCGGACCAGCGCCGCCGCCTCGCCCTCGCCGCCCGCTGCGCGCCGCAGCGGCGTCGGCTCGCCCTCGTGCAGGCTTGCGCCGCTGCGCAGGAGGGAGGTGGCGCGGGCGGCGGTGAGGGTCTCAAGGTGCGCGAGCGGCGTCCAGCCGCGGCTGGCGACCAGCCAGGCGGCGAGGTCGGTGTGGCCTTGGCTGTTTGCGGCCTCCTCGGGCGTGCCGAAGGGCGTAGCGGCGCGGGAGGCGCCGTAGGAGGAGAGGAGCTTGGCGACCTCAAGGTGGCCCTGGTAACACGCAGCGAACAGCGGTGTGGCGCCTTGCTCATCGGCCTGGTCGATCGCCGCGCCAGCCTCGAGGAGCAGCCGGGCGATCTCGACGTGACCCTGCTGGCTCGCAATGAACAGCGGCGTGCAACCATCGTTCGCCGCTTGGTTGATGTCAGCTCCAGCGTCGCGCAGCAGCCGGGCGATCTCGACGTGGCCCTTCTCGCTCGCGATGTACAGCGGCGTGGCGCCATCCGCCTTGGCTTGGTTGACCGCCGCGCTGGCCTCGAGAAGCAGCCGAACGCACTCGAGCTGGCCCTGCTGGCACGCCATGAACAGCGGCGTGGCGCCGCCGTTGTTGCAGGCTTGGTTGACCGCCGCGCTCGCCTCGAGAAGCAGCCGGGCGATCTCGGGGTGGCCGTTCTGGCACGCGACGTACAGCGGCGTGACGCCATTCTGCGTGGCCTGGTTTATCGCTGCGCCGGCCTCGAGGAGCAGCCGGGCGATCTCGGGGTAGCCCTTCTGGCACGCCATGTACAGCGGCGTGGCGCCATCCTGCTCGGCTTGGTTGACCGCTGCGCTCGCCTCGAGAAGCAGCCGGGCGATCTCCGGGTGGCCGTTCTGGCACGCCATGTACAGCGGCGTGATGCCTTGCTCATCGGCCTGGTCGACTGAAGCGCTGGCCTCGAGGAGCAGCTGGGCGCACTCGAAATGCCCCTCCTGGCACGCGACGTACAGCGGCGTGAAGCCTTCAGCGTCTGCTTGGTTGACCGCCGCGCCTGCCTCGAGGAGCAGCCGGACGCATTCGATCTCGCCGTTGAAGCTCGCAGCGCTCAGCGGCGTGGTGCCGTCGTCCGTGGGCTGCTCTATCGCCGCGCCCGCCTCGAGAAGCAGCTGGGCGCACTCGAGCTGCCCCGTCTCGCACGCGATGAACAGCGGCGTGACGCCGCCGTCAGCAGCTCGGTTGACCGCTGCGCTCGCCTCGAGGAGCAGCCTGGCGCAGTCGACGTGGCCCCCCTCGCTCGCGAGGAGGAGCGCGGTGGCACCGCCGCTGTCAGCCGCCCCGACGCTCGCGCCGCCCTCGAGCAGCAGCCGCACCGCCTCGGCCTGCCCGTGACGAGCGGCCCAGGTCAGCAGCGTGTCCTGCGTGCCGGTGTCGTGCCGCGCGTCGAGCTGGGCCGCGAGCGACGTGCCGCGCGTCCGCCGCCCGGAGAGGAAGGCGCGCAGCCAGGCCAGGTCGCCCCGAGCCAGGTCGGCGAGCTGGGTTGGGAGGATGGCGCCGCTCATGCCGCCAGAAAGAAGTACCTCTCCGTCGTCGTCCTTGGTCACCCCCAACGGGGTGACCCGGGCACGGAGGAGCAACTGGACCGCGTCAGCGGTGATGGGCAGCAAACAGCAACGAAAGGACGGCGATTACGCTGACGCCTCTACAAGCCCCCACCCCCACTCAAACACGGTCATCAACACTCTACCTTAAGCTCCTGAGGGGCGCGTGGTTCTAACCACG